CATCCCATAATTTTTTTTTGGATCAATCATCGCATAATTTATCCAAAAAAAAAAGTCGTACTACACAAATCTCTCCCATGTTTTAAAATGTAATTTCCATCAATCTTTCAATTGACGAAATGTCGATAATACAGTTTAATTTTTTTAAAAAAATTATTTCATTCTGACACAAATATTTACATTAAATATCGCACAGCAAAATAAAAGCCCACTTAGTAAAAGGGACATGCACTACCGACACGATATGCATATATTTGTGCAATTTTTTTAAAGCTAATTGAACATAACTTGTTTGAAAGAACAAAATTAATTAATTCGTATGTGGAATTTTGTTTTTCAATCGTTTTCATGCAAACAATCATTCAAAAATTATACTGCCTCTGGTCTTAATATAAAATTTCATTTGATTTTTATTTTAATTCTAAATATAAGATTCTAATTATTTTATTTTTTATTTTATACTTTTTTTAAGGTAGTTCTCTTAATAATAGTAATTCTAACCAAACACTTAATTAGTAAAAATATTTTAAAAAAGACAATACTTATTTATTATAAATAACTAATTTAATTTGTTTTAATCTTCTTAAATTAATCAACTAATTCTTATATTTAAGACCGGAGTTAATATATTCTTATTTAATCCACCGACACATATGACGTGTTATTTGATTTTGTTGTCCTTTTTTTTCTCCACTTTCAAACCGTGGAGGCTCGTCGTTACCAACCTCTTAATATATGCCACATGGCGTGCCACCCACCGCTGTGCTCCACTTCGAAACTTTTTTTGTTTTTTCTCCTTTTTTCTCTCTCCTCCCTTAAGCTGACTCTTAAATTGATTAATTAATAATAAAAATAATAGTAATAGTAGTAATATATTTTTTTAGAAAAATGGCACTGATTCAACTAAGAAAAATTATGAGATTTGAATAAAAAAGTGTAATGATCAAATAAAATCTCATAACAAATAAGCGGTAAAGAGTGATAAATCCTTGTATAATAATAATATATTTATAATATTAATTTTAATTATTGTGTTTGTAAATTTTATAATGATTTTTCATTTGATTATAATTCTTTCTATCGTTATCATCGAATTTTTCTGCCACGACATTATACGAGATATGAATATATGATAATAACATGGGAATTGTTTGATCAAGGACCCTTACACTTGTTAACTAAAAAGAAAGTTAAACATTTTTTTCGCCAACAAAAAAGAAAGTAAAACTAAACTATCAAAGGGACCAACTTGGCATGTGTCCAGTGGCAGACCAATCAGATTTGCTATAGGGATTAAATGGGTGGGTCCAGTTTGATTAGCTTAATTACCATCTCGCTAAGTGGATTGAAATTCTGAGATCCAATTACCGGTTGAAATTAACAGTTTTGCCTCGTTTACTTTGGCATGTTAGGGAGTGTTTGGATAAAATCAAAACTATGATTTTATAAGTTTTTACGGTATACGAAGTAAATATATGGAGGAGTTTATCTCGATTTGTGAAAAAATGTTTTGAAAAATATTTTTCTTGACAACCAAACACCCCCTCAGACGAATTGAGATAAATATAATTATTTTTATAAAAAGAAAAATCAATTGATGCTGAGTCAACCATACCAGATCACATTTAATAATTCAAACAAATCGAACCATAATTAATTGTATGCTTATTGTATTACTAGACAACTGTACATTTATTATTTTTTGGACTGGGTAGGCTGGTAAACATACTGTAAGAAAAACTGCATATGGATTCTTATTATTACTTAATAAAAAAGCATGAAATATATATAAATACTCATAAATCTAGAGTCATTTTTCTTGAAATCATCATAATCAGTGAAAATTAATGTGACAAATAGATCTTATATTTAGGATTAAGATCAACTAATTAAATAATAGGTTATATATTAAGGACCAGAAGATTATATTTTATTAAACAGGTAAAAATCAACGAATCTTTATCTAAGTGTGATATGCTCGACCAAAACTTGTTCTGGCTGATGATTTATGAATGAGCACCGTCTTTATTGGTATGAGGATATTAAAATCAATCCTCATCAATTTCCTACTTAATTTTCTCCTGCGTGATGCCTTTATCAAGGGGGAAAAAAAAGAGTTTCATTTTCAATATTTAATTATTCAAGAAAACGTGCTAAGTCGGTAGAGGCCATAATAATTGAAGTTTTACTTTGTCAAAGGGATCTTCAGGAAGGAACTAATATATTTAATATTGTGTCCATATCAACGCAACAAAACTTGTGTATTATTTCCAAAGGAACCAGCTTAAAGTTTTAGTCCTATGACTATAAGAAAGCACTATCAATTAACACTATATTTGTCTTATCCTTTCTGATTTTTGTGTGCAAACTAAGACTGAATTGTTGTCACATGGATTTCAGCTGACGCCCGTTTTACATCTTCAGTGGCTTTAATTGAAAGGGATTATTCATTGCTGTGAAGCATGTTTTTTTTTTTTTTCCTTTTTTTCCTGATTGCTTCTGTAATCCTTACGATATATGACAACTTTAACTTCTTTAAAAAAAATAATAATTGCCAACATCAGCTTATCTACTCATATAAACTTAACCTCTTTAACAATAATTAGAAGCTCGTGAATTGAATAAATTATATTCATCATGTTGTCTCTAGTTGAATTTGGCAATGCTTCCATATGGCCTGTGAAAATAAAAATATGTATGTAAAATTTATAACATTTTCTTTAAAATTTGAATTATGTGTCAACGTTTTTAAAAATTCTGTGAGTTGAGCTCGTAATTTTTTTCAAGTTTCAATTTATTACGAAATTTTAAAATTAAAATAGCTTTTATAACAAAATAAAAAATAGTTATACATAATTTAAAATTCAGAAAAAAACGAAGAACTGACCCCTGAATTAAATTATGAGAAATGAATATGGTCCATATATTTAAAAAAATAAAATATTTTGTCTTTTTTCTAAAATATCGACTAGAAAACAAATAAGTATGGTTTTGGCGTGGAACACAGCTGGGAGAACATAATATGCTGTAGCCGGATTTATTTGATGAACGTGAAAGTGACAGAAGCGAGAATCCGAATATAATATTTATTTTAATTAATTGGATGTGAATTTATTTTCTTGTTAAATCATAAAAATTGCTTTACCTATATTCTTATTGGGGTTTGGGAGCCCCTTGAATCACTTAAAAAATATTTTTCACATAAATAAAAAACAAAACTTCTCTAATTATCTCACATACTTATTTTGATTTTGTAAAATTACTTTTAAAGAGTTAATTCAAATCATAAAGTAGTTAAGATTCAGCTGGGTAAGCTTTTGGGGAAAACACTAAATATTTAACACAAGAATTCAAGCTTGAGATCTCTAATTAAACTATTACAATCTTCTACCATCTAAACCAAGGCTTTAGTAGTCATTATACATGTTATACATGTACAAATTATAGAAATTTTTTCAAAAGAAAGTTACATGATTTAACCAAATTTAATGAGAATTTTTGTAATTTACTGTGAGATTAAATACTGATTTGAAATGATTGTTTGAGAGATACATGCACGTAGGTTTATTATTATTAATAACTCGTAGTTTTATGACGTGGACTCTTTGCTGGATTCTTTACGCGCTTGTATAATCTTGACATTTTCTGTTATGATATCATTTCATTCGTTTTCGTTCTCGCTACTGCCCTGTGAGATCAAACATCAGTATCTTCACACCTCCATGATTGTTCTTCCTGAATCCAGAAAACCAAACCCTACAAATTATTACCTGGCGGCCAAAAACCCTCCAAACTACAAAAGTGACATTAGTTGAAGGGTCTTTTCCCAGATTTTGCTTAAGTAAACAATTAATTCCATCGTTTAAATTAAAAAATTAATTATGTGTGCCTTAAGTTTGAGTGTGTATATTTCTTAAAAACCTAGATGTTATGTTTAGATTAAAAAACCCCTTAAAATTACTAGCACTGTGATGGGGTTAGGTAAAAGAAATTCAATATATTTCCACTAAGATTTTGAATTCAAATTTTCTGAGTGGAAAAAAAATCTCACTAGTGATTAAGTTGACTGAAAGATATTTATATATTTTTTTGGAAATATATTAAATTTGATTTGCAAATAACAAAGATATCTGGTTGCTCAACCTTCTCCTTTGGGAATCTTGTGGTTTGAATATGAATCAAATAATGTTAGGTATGTGATTATTCTCACAATGAAATTTAAAAGTTATAGTCATTTTTCAGATATCAAGATTACGACAGAATTTTATTTTATAAAAAAGAATACTATCAAATTATAAGAAATTATTAATATTATTAAAACTTTAAAAGCATACTTTTCCTAAAATAAATTTTTTTTTCTAAAAAATAAATATTTGGAAAATTTTTAACATTCACGAATAATTATAATTATAATTTATTTTTACTATATATTTTAATTTAGGATTTGATTTTTAAATGTTATTTTTTAATTTTTGGCAAGTTTGCTTTTTCCTCTTTTTGTTGACTTTAATCACAAGCAATAACCTTTTTTTTTTTTTTTAGGGATACAGTTGCCCCTTTTTAAAAGATTTCACAGTTCAGAAATAGTTGGCTGTCTAGCCGTTGGCATGAAAGCCACGTATACCTATTCTTCCTCATCAACGAGAATACACAACCTATATAAATAAATATATATATTTAATAAATAAACACGCCAAAGCGTGTCCTTCATCCTCAAGAGCGGTGAAAGTCATTAAAATTGGCATATTTTCAATCAAGTCAAGAGATGCAAACTGATTTGCTGAATATTGTTGACAAAGAGAGGAATACTCACAAATATAATTCATATTTTGTTTGGCCAACATAATTTTTATATTTATATCCAAATGATTTATATATTATAGTGTGGTAATGTGATAAAGTCATTAAAACCACTGTGGTTTTGGATCTTCTGTGCTTGCCAGCTTTGCTTGAGGGAACATGGCTGCATATATAACTATGGACCCCGAAAATCATCAATAAAAACTAAAAAATAAAATTTGAGGGAAAGAGGAGGCTCTGACTGCATCTTCTTCTCGGCTTTCTGGGTAAAGTAAGAATTTAGTTGGCAGAGATTGATAGGAGAAGTGGAGAGAGAGGGAGGGGGATGATGGAGGATCGGGGGCTTCTGCCGCTGGTGTTCATCAGCACCTGCATTCTGGGTTGGATGCTCATTGCTGTCAATGGGCAGACAGATCAAACTGATGGTCAGTATCTATCTTGTTTGACTTGATTTCCTACTTTACTCATTTTATGAATTCCCGGGTGTTCCTTCTACTTCGATAAATTTGCATTGTGCTAGAGTTCGGCTGAAGTTACTATTCACCTTGCTTGTTGTTTTAAATCATCTGCTTTGATCAGCTCTATCAAATTGTTGATAGATTACTTCGTCACATTGTGACTCAAGTTTAAGTGTCTCGGTTTTGGATTCAGTGAGAAGTTTTCCAGCTGATCCACTCGAGTGGCATCCGTTAATTCCCTCACAGATTATTACTGCTAATTCAGATGGCTGGATCTTTTGCTAGGGGGACTTCTTATTTTGCGTGCTTTCAGTTTCAACGAATAAAATTTTGTTTTCTTTTGTTGAGCTGTATGCTCTGTTTACAGTTCTGTCGGTGGATGGTTTCTGGGAATTTGTCACAGTCCTTCCCTGAGAACGTCGCTTTGATTGGAAAAGTTCTATGTGTAACTCATCGCTAACAGTTTTCGGGTTCTCATGATTAATTTCCTGTTCATTATTCAATTGAGTTATACACACGACACTGTTATAGATGGGTTCGCTCTTTTAGGTCCTCCCAGTTTCTTTACTGATCCAAGGATGGACCCAAGTCGTCTTCGTTCCGCGGGATTAAAGGCCGCCCCACACCCCCCCCGGGGGGGCAAAAAAAAAAAAAAGAACAGCTGGATTGAAGGAAGCCAAAGTCTCAACCCCGATCTGTTGGCTGGTTATTGGCATTGTGTCATAGGTCTATGGCTAGCCGTGGGCATGTGGAAGTTAATTTCTGGAGCACCTTATCCACTAAAAATGGGGAAAGAAGAGACGGCTTTATCAACTAATAATCCATCAAGTAGTCGATGTATATATTACAGTTTTCGTTCGGTCAAATTTGCGTCTTAACATGTTGAATATACATTCAGAGTTCAAAAAGAGATACCTCTGGTGATGCGAAGATGCAGTTAAATATTCTTGGATGATGCACCTCCATTTTTGTTGCCATCCATGATATTGTTGGGTTTGCAGATTGATGTCCACATTGATCTTCTTGGCATTATGTTGATATTTTGTGAATTGATCTTCTTTGTATCATGTTGACTGATGCAAAAGGAGCTTAAAAGTTCTGTATAATTAACCCCAAAAATGCACTTCAATAGTGAATACTTGCTTGTGCCATCCAAAGTGGCCTAATGACTAATAAAGTGAGGTACTAAATCATACATGTATGGATTGAGGTGTTACAAGCCACCATACTGCTGCTTCCCTCCTTGACATTTGACAATGGCTTTATTCCTAGTAGGCATCAGCAAGCTCTTGCGTCATGAGGCCGAATGATTTAATGATTAATAGTACCGGTATTGTTAACCTTAAGATTTGGTAGTCCCCCTTACGTTTAACTTCAAACTTTTAAATGTTTCTCAGGCCTGTATAGCATACTTTGTCCCATATATATCTTGATATGGGATTTGATGTATCACACAAAGTGATTTTAACCATTTAACTAAGTCATCTTGTGAGATTTTTTTCATTTGTTGAATCATCGGTCAGGAACATCCTATAACATAGTAATTATAGGAAAGCTTGTAGAGCTTAGATAAGCTTATTTCACTTATTTGCTTCATATGATTCTTATCTGAAATAATCGTGTATTTGTTTTTCTTTTCAAATTTGCCTCTCCACATTTGTCCAGCAGCATCCTCTTTGACGCTTTCAAGATTTTCTGTTTTCACTAACTAGCTATCTTATTTCTGAATGTTTGGTGCAGTTGCCGCTTTGCAGGCTATGTTTACTGGTATGAACTCACCCTCCCGGCTAGGTTGGCAAGCAAATGGTGGTGATCCCTGTGGACAGCCTTGGAAAGGCATTACTTGCTCAGGCAATAGAGTTACAGAGATGTAATATCTCACTCTTCCTTGGACTTCATATCACTTGACTGTTAATTATTTTTGGTGCTGATTTCTGATGGAAATTCATTTATCTTATCAGTAAGTTGCCTAATCTTGGATTATCCGGATCATTCGGTTACCAGTTACAAACCATGACATCTGTGACCACCCTGTAAGATTCATGATCTCATTCGTCATATATCTGATTTTATGTGTATTAGTATTTGTTTACTGAGTTCGTAAATTTTGCAGAGATATGAGTCACAATAATTTTGTAGGTGCCGTACCATACCAACTTCCACCAAATTTGCAGAGATTGTATGTTTCTGTATACATGTGCCTCACAATTATTTATTTCCTCTCTTTTATTCCGATATTATGATTTTTAAAATTGTTTCTTTCTATGTAGAGATCTCTCCAATAACCAATTCACTGGGAGTTTGCCGTATTCGATTTCTGACATGGCTTCTCTTACATACCTGTGTGTAATAAATTATTTTTCATTCTCATGATTATACTTTATCGTCCCCCTTTACGAGCAACGGGAGTTAATTTTTTTAATTCTTTTTGGGGAATGCAGAAATGTTGCTCACAATCAACTACAGAATGGACTGAGTGACACGTTTCAAAAGCTTTCTAAGCTAGCCACACTGTAAGATTTCCTCTCGCAATAGTCTCTATATAAATTGGAATAGTCTCTATGGATGTCATGTTAAGCTAGCCAAATTGGAAGTCTCTATATAAATTGGAATAGTCTCTGAGTGTCTTCTTCTTCTTCTTCCTCTTCTTCCCTCTTTTTTTTTTTTTTTGGCATACCGCTATGAATGTCATGTTAAGCATGAAATATTAACCATATTCAGCCTCAATATAATTTTATGTTACTAGTTGTGAATTCAATCACCATTATGCACTGAAAATGTTAAAGCATCATAATATTGTTTCTGATTGCGTATTTAGTCTGTACTCTGTAGTTCCCTGCCTCTTCTCGCTTGTGCTACATGTAGTTTTAAGAATTTTCAATATTACCTACTTCAGTCTTCATAACTGAGGCTTCTTTGGAAGGCTAATGAATGTAATGAATACTACAACTTGGTTCTATTGAAAAGAAGGATGCGAAGACTTGTTGTCGGCCATGACTTAAGAACAAGTGACTGAAAAATTTGTTGCTTGTTGCAGGGATCTCTCTTTCAATTCTCTGTCAGGCAGCCTTCCTCAGAGTTTCAGCTCACTTTCAAGCATGAACAACATGTAAATGCCTAACACTTATTTTTATTCATTTTTTTTAGCGTTTTGCATCCTATTAATTAGATTTTTTGTTTTCTTGTCTACCTTTGCTCAGGTATCTGCAAAACAACCAGTTTGCAGGGACTATTGATGTCCTCGCCAATCTGCCTCTTGATAGTCTGTACGTTATGTATAAAAATAAACATATAGGAGTCTTACATCCTGTTTTTGCTTAGAAGTGCCTTCAAACAATTTATATTTATCATCTACAATGCTTCCTAGGAATGTGCAGAACAACCGTTTTACAGGCTGGATACCAGAACAGCTGAAAAGCATTGACCTCCAGTAAGCATTGTTGTCATCAGTAACAGGGTTACTATAGATCTGTTTCTTTATATAAAAGTTTCTATGAAATTTAAAAATTTTGTTCAAACTTAATGACAGGACATCAGGAAATACGTGGAACTCAGGTCCTGCCCCTCCTCCACCTCCTGGGACGCCCCCTGCAAGGAGAAGGAACCGGCATCACAACTCTGATGGAAGTAATAGCTCTTCAGATGGCACCAGCGGTGGGGAGAAAAAATCTGGTATAGGAGGCGGCGGTATTGCTGGAATAGTGATCTCCATCCTTCTTGTTGGGGCGGTAGTTGCTTTCTTTTTGGTGAAAAGAAGATCCAGGAAGTCATCTCCAGATATAGAAAAGCTCAACAGTGAGCCTTTTGCTCCTCTCAATTCAAACGTAGCGCATGGTAATTTGAGCCTTTTGCATCTTGCAGACTGTTGACAAATTCTTCTCTCTATTATCTTGAGGTGGTCGTATTTTCATGCTTTATGTTCTGAGTCGTATTTTTATGCCTTATGTTCTAACCTATGGGTAAAACATTTTCTTTTTATTTTAAAATATTCACCCCTATAGGTAATTATATCTGTAGCAAGCTTCTGCTTCCTTCTCTTCATGCTCTTCATGATAAATGAACTTGACAATGTTGGTGCATATTTGTTCTGTGACATAGTAGAAATTACTTCAGCACTTTTCTAGGGGAAGGATTTCTTAATTCCTAACAATCTATCTAGCCTGTGACTAGAAGAGTTTCAAGTATTTGTAATCAAGCTAATTTGATCAAGTTTTGTTCGTTTAGCACAAAAACATTATTTGCCGGTCTTTCGTAATTAGGTTCTCTCCAAATTACTGTAAACAATTGACTCCTCCAGTTCTTGTGCTGCTGCAACTTATTAGTTCTTGAGATTGCATTTCTGTTGCAATGCAGAAGTGAAGTCTGTGCAACCTCCCTCTGTAGTTGACATGAAGACATTTGATACGTCCGCCTCAGTAAATATTAAACCCCCACCTATTGAACGTCACAAATCATTTGATGAAGATGAATTTTCCAAGAAGCCAATTATTGTCAAGAAAACTGTAAAAGCTCCAGCAAATGTGAAATCATATTCTATAGCAGATCTACAGATCGCCACTGGGAGCTTCAGTATGGATCACCTCCTTGGGGAGGGATCTTTTGGGCGTGTTTATCGGGCTCACTCTGATGATGGAAAGGTATCCTCATTTATTATTCTTTTGACCCTGCATTAATGTCAAAATTTGGTTGGAAAGACGCAATGATTCCATAGTTGCGCCATTATCTTGTATTTTGCATAGAATTTGACTGGTTGAAAAGTTAGCCTAAGAAAAGCATTCTTTTTCTCCACACATCGATTTCCCCCAAAATAAAAAGATTAAAAAAAAAGGAAGAAGTTTAGCCGTCAGAGAAGTCTTAGAATTCTGTGTGCATGTGGGCCCCCTTAAGTTCCCAATGTATGCCGTGGAGTATTTTATAACTGACCAATTCTTGTGTCTATGCATGTGATTTAGATATTAATGATTTTGACTCTTTTGGCGAAATTTTTGTAGGTTCATGCTGTGAAGAAAATTGATTCATCTATCCTTCCCCATGATTCAGAAGATTTTATGGAAATAGTTTCAAACATCTCCAAGTTGCACCATCCAAATGTAACAGAGCTTGTTGGTTATTGTTCAGAGCATGGACAACACCTCCTAGTCTCTGAGTTTCATAAAAATGGATCGCTACATGACTTCCTTCACTTACCAGATGAATATAGCAAACCATTAATATGGAATTCCCGTGTCAAGATTGCTTTGGGGACTGCACGTGCTTTGGAGTAAGTTCATAGTGGGTTAATGGGTTGAAGATCCTGATGTTTCCTTTTCTAAAGAAGTTTTCCATTGTTGCATGATATTTGCTTGACGATACAACTCTAGTTTTCCTAGACCTATTAGTTTTTGCTTGCCCTGGCTTTCCCGTTTCTCTCCTATTGTTCCTGTTTTGTATATTTTACTTGATTTAGGATGTATTTTTCTACGTCTCTCTGCATAATTTTTCTTTTTTTGGGGTAAATCGTGTCTCTGCATAACTTTATTGTGTAAAAGTAAGGCATATAACGAAGGCTATCAAGTACTAATGTCTGTGTTATTCAATGTTTGAATCTCAAGGTCGTCAAAGTAAGAAGATAGTTTGAATTTTCGACTATTTATTTAAGCGTAATCAATGGTACGTAAAATAACACGAATGTACTCACTAATGTTTTTTCTAGGTACCTGCATGAAGTTTGTTCACCATCAGTTGTTCATAAGAATATTAAGTCGGCCAACATATTGCTTGATGCGGAGCTCAATCCTCATCTCTCGGACTCAGGATTGGCAAGCTATATTCCGAATGCTGACCAGGTGATTTTAGTATTTTTGGAACTTTAAGAAGTCAATGCCTTTTTAATTGGATTTAAGAAAAGTTGCATTTGGCTGTGGTATTTTTTAATAAATATTATTTATTTTAGGCGCTATTGCTTATTCTCATTCAGTATGTATAGTCATTCTCTTTTCTGCGAACCTATTTTCTTCGTGGATGTCGCCATACATCTGGGGTATTGTATGAGTAACCTTTGCTGCTAGTTATCGGTTGCCAACTTGTGTGAATAGGTATATAGGGTCTTCCTGGCAATATGAATGCTACTGTGCAATTGTTTCATCTTATGGATGCAATGAGAGATATCAGAATGCTCTTAACAAATATGCATTTCCCTCTTCACCTCTTGCAGTGACATTTGGCTTAGACATTAAAATGATTAAAAGTTCTTAATTTTCATCTAATATTCAGGTCTTGAACCGTAATGCTGGATCTGGGTATGATGCACCTGAAGTTGCTTTGTCTGGTCAATATACTTTGAAGAGTGATGTTTACAGCTTTGGAGTTGTTATGTTGGAGCTTCTTAGTGGACGGAAACCATTTGAGAGGTAAATGATCGAAATACCTTAACATGGCATTTTTCCCCACTTGCCCACGTGTGCTGACAGAACATGCTGGACATCATGAATACGAAAATATATCAATAAATTGTTAAAAAAAAAAAATTGAAGTATGCCTTTATTTAACCCGAGTCGTGGCTTCAAGCTTTCAACAGGCAGCCTTGCTCATAATCTCTATTCCGGTCATGACAATACTGACCAGTCTGGCGTAATGGTAGTTTCTGGAATCATGGGAAAAACCTACCGTCGTTGCATATGTTATTTTGAAATAATCGGAGAAACCATGTCTTACCATTTTTGGGTTGTTAACACAATTCTTGATTCTAAACAGCACAAGGCCAAGATCCGAGCAATCTCTGGTGCGGTGGGCAACACCTCAACTCCATGATATTGATGCATTGGCTAAAATGGTTGATCCTGCTCTGGAGGGGCTATACCCCGTTAAGTCCCTTTCTAGGTTTGCTGATGTCATTGCGCTGTGTGTTCAGGTAATGTCAGTTATATTGCACTTAGCATTCTTGTTTTTTCTGAGAAGGGCTTTTGATGCTGAGCTATAAAAAAAAAAGTCCTCACTTGTTATGTTTTGATTGAAAAGCTTATGCCCAGCATCTTAAACTGTATCCAAGCACTCCCCCCCCCCCCCCAAAAAAAAAAAGAAAGAAAGAAAAATGCTCAAAAAGCAGGAAAATAACTGAACGTCTAAAATGGATTGTGAATTGTGATGCTTGGTCTCTAACACTTCATTTCTGAGCAGCCGGAGCCTGAATTCCGACCACCTATGTCAGAGGTGGTTCAAGCATTGGTTCGCTTAGTGCAGCGAGCTAACATGAGCAAGAGGACATTTGGACCAGATCAAGGAGGATCCAATCGAGGAGGCGACGATCAAGACACACAAGATATGTAAATTGGAATAGAACCTGTGCTTGTAAAATGACAATAATAGTATTTATTTATTTTCATTTCTTTTTAACCCCTCAGCGATACCTCTTTGCGGGTCAGATTGATTTCTGTTTTGATTAACAGGGTTGGACAATTGGTGCTGTATTTTGTTTAAGTTCTTTCATTGTTGATATTAATATGCAATAATGATTAAACTGGTTCCAATTCTTAAGCTCTGTTGAGAACTTGAGAATTGAGATTGATGATTGCCTTCCTTCTCACCCTACTTGTTTTTTTTGGCTCAACTACAATTATTAGTAATTTGGGTTGGGCCGGTTCATTAAGCACAGATATGATCCATTTCTGAGGTTTAATTAAAAGAATGAGGATTATATTTAGATGTTCCCTTGGTCATCAAGTTTCTTAATAAAAGTTTGACGGAGAAATTTGCTCGAGACACAATGGTTGCCTGAAGCTGAAAAATGTGTTTGCTAATTTTCATTGACAAATTACTACCTTCAGTCCTTAATTTATCACCTATTTAATTAATTTATGTGCATTAAAAAAATAGTTAAATTAGTTTTTGTTGATTTTTTAAAAAATACTTTTTAAAATTATTTGCATTGAAATCACTTTTTAATGCGAATTAGCTTAACATGTGGAATAGTTTGAAGTTTGGGCAAAAAATAACAAGTATTGACAGTAAAATAAATGGAGGTCTTATATTTAAAATCAAAATTATCATGTAACTAATTCTTACAGTAGAGGTTGAAAATAGTAAAATCGGAAGTAGAAGAAGAATAAAAGTACATTAAGTTTTCTCCATATTTTAGCATGGTTTAATGATGATTAGGATCATTGGTTCATGTGCCGTCGTGTTTATTAAATTATGGTTATTTCACTCGTGAATTTTGTGCATCACACGAGGAAATTTACTAGTTTTGAATTAAAAATCTTAAATCATATAAACACTTTTAATTTTTAAATTTTTATTAAAATGTGAAAAAATGTTTCAAACTTGAGAGTAACCCGTATTATTTATCTATTTATTTATGAATTATCAATATTTTAACTATGGGATAATTATTGAAAAAGTACCTCTGACATTTATTGTCATCACAATAGTCCTAGTCATGAGCAGAATCATCTGCCACGTCTACCAACACGTCATCCTGAGGTCCATGTATCATCATCCACATCACAGGACGTCAGCTGTTCATCCTAATCAGCAGTACTGTCATTGGCACTTTTTCTGTCATGTCATTCAGATATCCTAGTCATCCGCAAGGTCAGTGACCGTGTCATGTCACACGTCAGCTTATGCGCTAGTCATCAACACTCATTTGACACGTCATTAATTAATCAGCAGCCATGTCGACTGACATGTCACCCAAACGTCTGGGTCAAGCTGAGTCCGTCAGCAGCATTAGTAAATGGGCCAACGGCTGGCCCAAATCTAGTCATTTGATGACGTTCTGCTATGGGGCGGGGTGCCATTATTCATTACTCATTTTTATGAAGCCTGTTTTTTTGGGCCAAATTTTGAGAAGGCTTTTATATCCTTTTTCTCCATCTTGAACCCACAGCTATAAATTTTATTTTATACCAAAGAAAAACCTTACATTTTTTTTAATTTTATTTCTATTATAACCCTCACATTGGTTTTTTTTTTCTTTTTTCAATTAATATTTTTCCTCTAGCGTGATCAGATTAAAATACCTAACAAAGAACTGAAGATTGAGAGATCAAAATTAGAAAACTGAAATAAATTGAAGAGTACTAGCTTCAGTTAAAGCTTATCAGATGATCGGTGCCAAGCCCAAGTTATTCCATTCCCACCACACTTCTGAAGCTTCTTTGGGAGAAAACTTTTCAGATAAAAATTTCCAACTCTCAGTCAACTTTATGAAACATTTCAAATGACATTTAATAGTCTGTTTTGAAGTTTGGTTATCTCAAAAAAAAAAAAAAAAACCGTTATGTCTAATAAGCCTCCTCTTAACAAAGCATAATCCTCTATGGTTCTCATACTAACCGACATAAACTGTTTATGATATTTCTGTTAAGGGCAGAAGCTGACAATTGTAATGATTCAAATCAATTGAAGAATAACATTTCGGCAAAAACATTAGTTACATGGATGTTTCAACAGAACTATCCTCGTAGATACAAGTTCACACAGATGAATCTAACAATCTGCTCATGAAAGAACCATATGCTACCGCAATTTTCACAGGAAAATATTACACGTGCTTATATGGTTTGACTAAAAGCAGGGAAGGGAAAAGAACAAACTCAGTTGTAGACCATGTACTTGGGAGTTGCACTGAACTTTTGGTACCCTTTAATAACTTTATTCACCGCATCGAGGAAGTCCTTCTCTGTCACAGTTTTCCTTCGGGCGCGGATAGCATACATGCCAGCTTCAGTGCATACACTCCTTATATCAGCTCCTGGAGACAAAAAGTTATCTCGAGTCAAAATACTCATAACTGAAAATAAGAAAAAGGAAAGGAAGCTGCAGAAACCCTCCAAACCTGAACACGTCAAACATAGAAAGCAAGCCAAGTGGAACAATGACTTCAATGTTTGATAGTTGAAAAGCAAGTGCTAAAGCACGAACAGTCAAATACTTTTAGGGGTTTCTTACCAGTGGAATTTGGGCAAAGGCGAGCAAGAAGTTCAAATCGGATATCCCTCTCACAGTTCATGGTTCTTGTGTGTATCTTGAATATCTGAGTCCTGCTCTCTAAATCAGGGAGACCAAACTCAACCTTACGATCCAAACGCCCAGGTCGAAGCAGGGCAGGATCTAGTGTGTCAGGCCTATAATTTGTGCAAGGAGCCATTAATATTAACTAATTGGCCGCCCTCAGATGCAATGCTTCATTTAAAGAATGTATGCTACGAGCAATTGTACAAAATGCAATGAAAGTGCAAGTTTCGGGAAGGCCCATATTCAGGAATATAATGACATGCTCCTCCGGTCCTTAATATAGGACCCAATTCTTGAATTGGTTTTGGTCTTAAATATAAGACCCATTTCTCATATTTATCAATTTTTTCTAGATTACCCTTATAGATACTCCATCAACCATAATCAAATAGAAGAGGGAGAGAAGGTATTAAGAAAAATGATTATGGTGTTTTAGGAAAAATGTGACACTTTTCTTATAATTAACTAACTTACCTAACTTTTTTAATCTAATCAAATTAGTTAAATGGGTTTTATATTAAGGACCGGAGGAGTATTCCAATTAAAGATACACCATAAAGCTTCAATTTTTTTTTCTCAAGTTAAAAAGGTTAAAATATCCGCAATTTTAGAGGGTGAATCGTTTCCTTTTCTTTCGTTTTTTTAATTTAAAATAACTCTTGTAGTCATTTAGGGTTCAACCAAAAAAAAAAAAAAAGGCAGGCTCACAAATGTCAGTCAGTTTAGGTAGTGGGAAGAACAAAAGTTACCTTAAACGTGATATGATGGCAAGTAAAAAACAATTATAAAGGAAAAAGAAACGTTTCACAGTGAACATAGGCACCTAAAATGAATGTAATTAAAGGAAATCTTAAGAAAAATATAAGACTGAGATTAATTAAAAAAAAATGATACGTTATGTAAACCATAAATTCCAACCTGTTTGTTGCCATCAAAACTTTGATATTTCCACGAGCATCAAACCCATCGAGCTGATTCACAATTTCAAGCATTGTGCGCTGAACCTCATTGTCCCCACCAACACCATCATCAAAACGGGCACCTCCAATTGCATCAACTTCATCAAAAAACACAATACATGCCTTCTTTGATCGGGCCATCTACAGGAAGGAAAATTTTGGTCAGAGGATATCAGGACGTCAAAACAATTACTAAAACAAGATCAAAGATTTTAGATGTTGACCTGAAATAGCTCGCGAACCATCCGAGCCCCCTCACCAACATATTTCTGAACCAGCTCACTTCCAATGACCCTAATGAAACAGGCATCAGTTCTATTAGCCACAGCCCGGGCCAACAGCGTTTTGCCAGTGCCTGGTGGGCCATAGCAGAGAACACCCTTTGGAGGATCAATTCCAAGCTTGACAAATTTCTCTGGATGAAGCATAGGAAGTTCAACCACCTAGAAGGGGAAATTTTAAAATTAGCGCCACATCCTGTCTTCTCTTGGTTATTAATACTTATAGATGAAACTTTTTTCAATCACTTACTTCTCGCATCTTTTCAATCTGCTCCTTACAGCCACCAACATCATTATATGTCACATCTGGCTTCTCTTCAACCGTCATCATGGTAACACTTGGATCAATTTTTGGAGGCAAAGGAATCTGAATCTGGTATTTATTTCTATCAACCCTGCAATGATAGAGTGAAGGTCAATAAAAGATTATACTGATGTGCCCTCATCTCTTGGTAATATTTTGACACGAGTAACCAACAAGGAACATACCCAACACGCATTCCTTCCTCTATGTCAGTGGGAGAGACTTTGTCACCCAGCCCAACAACAAACTGTCAATCATAAAAAGATCACATTAGACACAGTTACTGAAGGAAAGAAAGTGAAGGTGCAGCTGCACTGGCATGCATACGAAAAAACTTATCACCAAGTGATATCTTGAACAAGTGAAGCAGGACTTAGTGTTTAAAAAAAAACCAGTGCACATGATACAGAGCACAAAAAATTGCTACAGATAAGTGCACCTTTGCAATCTGCTTAACATTGATAACATATTTGGCATCTTCCGAGTTTGGATTAATTATCTTTGTGCACCTGGCCACCTATTCAATCAACAGTCACAGTTAGCAGTTCCTACAAATACATACATGCATATATATTTATATATATAACATTTTGAAACTGGAAAAAAAAATTTAAAATACAACCTGAAGAGGCTGTTCCTCCTGCATCATTTGCTTATCAGAAACAAGATCCCACTGACTTGGTGCAGCCAAACCAGTATCAGACTCCTTAATACCTGGACATTATAAAAAGTACGTCAAGTCAAAGAATCCAGATGTCATTAGCATGCAGTACATGCAACTACGAAAATCAGTAGAAATTACAGCACAAACAGCATAGGAACAAGATTTCAAATAAAAATGGAATATATCATCTGATTAAGAGGGTACATAAACTTTATAATAAAAAAAACGTAAGAATAGCCACACACAAGATAAGCGCATAACAAAGATACTAATAGGGAAATAATATCCATATTTTAGACAACTAAAACAAAAGGCAATATGGAAACACATTAGCAAGATATGCCGCTAGCACATGAACAAGAACTAATAAAGTGTCATTCCTTTTGAACTAGCATGTAATGTATGCATATAGTTTGGCCTTCAGGAATTCATCAACGAGATCCGACATTGCAGGCGATGGTCTGATAACCGCTACAGTCACCATGATATAGAAATTATAAACACAGAAGCAGCAGCATATGCATGTGAAATATAATTTACTCAGACATTCATAAATAATGATGATTATAAACAAAAATGCACATGCACAGGCACACTAATATATAATTAGAGAATACATCCCAAATCACATTGCATTTTTTCAATAACTGAATACATTGGTTTGCATCTCAATGAGATAAGAAAGGAAATGGTAAACATACCACATAAATCATTGACTTTCTTTGCCTTCTCTTTGATCTCCTTCTCTGTCTTTTTTGTACTTGTGGAATAAGGTCCCAGACCCTGCACAAACCCATATTTTCTTCTAAAATAATTTCTACAGACTAAGGATGAGGTAATACCAATAATAGAATATTAGAAGAGGCACGACATATGCGTTCCAATATAAGTTTAGCCATTGAACAACCTAAATCACAGGGGTGGCTCGTGGCAATGAGATACCAATATCACTTGCCTTACATATTAAGAGGATGAGCGGAATCTCAGTTACTCTATAAAAAATAACAAAAGCTGAATATTTTCTCAGGTGTCTTCAAAAATTCAAACATGTATGAAGAAGACCATTGAAAGCCGTAAAGAGGATGGATCAGATAACTTGAACTGCTCCAAAAGAGGGATAGAGAAAGACCGAATGGGACCTCTTGGTCAACAATATCTCCAAAGATTTGATTGTTAATAGCAGCGTGGTGCAATCCATTTGGCTGACCTACCTAGTGGGACAAAGCTTGTTGTACTGTCTGGGAAAACCTCCGGATTCACATTACTGTGCAAGCAACTAAGGCATCCCCAATGCCAAAATTCATCACTGATAACGTCCAAAACCTAATGCATCTACAGCATGAATATGTAGGATATAATTTTATCTGTTGGCAGATAATAAATAAACCTAACTCCCCATATTCTTGACATCCAGCAAGTCTAACTAATCCGGGAAGAGGGCCAAGGAGAAGGAAAACCCTTCAACTTTCACAAACAGTATTCCTAAAGCCAATGAGAACCTCAAATTAACCGCATTAAACCGACCCGCACCGACTATCAAGATTAGGTAATGACACCTAGCTAATTACAGTACAAAGTGGATGAATAGTAAATTGGCTACATGTTGGGCGGCATAAAAAAGCCGATATAAATTCTTGATGAGACCCATCAGCAGTAAGTTGAACAAAGCTTGAACTGCGATTGAGCTGAGGTAACACTGAAAATAATACCCAACGAAAATCGAAGAGTCGAGCATGTACGTAGATCCACAAAACCTAAAATGATAGAGCAAAAGGCCGACAATAAGAGATTTCGAGAACAACTTACATATGTTTTGAGCAGGGCAATGTCATCCTCGTCAAGGGGACGGGACTTCTTCTCGTCCTTGATGTCGTCCTCGTGATCGGGGGCCATCGATGTGATTCTTCCGAATTTGGTTTCCCCTCAGACAAAGATGTAAACTTTCTCCAGTTTACTTGAGAGGGAAGTCGAGACTGAAACTATGATTCTATTTTGGGTTTAGCTGGTCTTTTATGCAAGGGCACGGTGGTCTGCGAATCCGAGAAAGAGAAGCTAGGAAGGAAAACGAAGCGGGATTGCTCGTTTAAAAGCCACGGCGACGGGAGAAACCGGTGCTAGGTGACTTTCCATGCAAGAAATATATTCATATTTTTTTCCAAACAAAAAATATTTTTATATGCACCTATGGTATTTTTTACATTTTCATATTATATGTTTTGTTAATGGGAAAAAAACAAATAAAGATCCCTAAATTACTAAAATTATAAGAAGGTCACCTAAAAATTGCCATGAGACCCAGTTTCATATTATAAATATGAAATCTTAGTGAAATGTTTGAAATGCCCTCAGTTAAGTTGTGATTTGGTCTACTGAAATTTTTATTCTCTAAAGTGAACTTGTTATTTTCTATAGTCAACTTGTCATTTGGCATACCCTCTGTCAAGTTGTGATTTGGTTTACTGAAGTTGTCATTCATCAAAGTGAACTTGTCGTTTCTTATAGTCAATTTATTATTTGGCTGAGTGGCATTTCAGATATATTATCAAGATTTCATATTTGCAATATGAGATCGAGTCTTTATTTGTTATTTTCTAAATGAGGATCTCATATCATAGTTTCACATATTGAGGGTCTTTATTTGTCATTTTTCCTTTGTTATTAACTGTATTCTTTTCTCGCGAAAGTAAAGTAAACGCAGGTGACTTGGTTGTTGGGCACCAAAATAAAAACATTCAAAGAATATAGAAAGAATTTTACCGGGTTATTTATACATTACTCATCAATAAGTCTTTATATTGACAACAAAATTCAACATTATGCTCTAGTGGGTAAGAACGGCAATAGGACCAGGTGTTAATTATTCTATAAGAACTCATTGATTTTTAACCTCTTCTTTTAATGAAAAAATATGTTTGAGAAATTTTAGGATGATTATTATGGTTTTTTTCCTTTTTAGTGACATGATTTTTGTGATAATATGATTATTCATTTTTAGTTTAATAAAATCAGATATTGAAATAGAAGAATGCAAACATGTTTCAACGATGTAGGGCTTGTTTCTCTTTCCACATAGTAGTTTGTGAAAGGCATAAGTTTCTTTCCATGGTAACAAAATAGACTTGGCCTATCAACGAAGTTGAACCTAGTAAAAAGAGTTAAACTAATATTTGAATCTTCACGACAAGTGCCACATTTAGCAGCTAAGGTGACATGTCAATAACGCTACAAATGGTTAAAGAACCATAACTTGTGCCTAATTTCATCCTATGACGATATATGAATATTTTTTTTTTATTGCATCTCCTCATTTTCAAAAATCTTGATTAGTTTAATAAGTTTAAATAAACAAATTAAGGAGTGTTTGATTTAACTTATTTTAAGATATTTTATGTTATGTACAGCGAATATATGAAAAATTTTGTTTTGATTTTTTTTTGAAAGAATATCAAACACCAAAATTTCTAGAAGTGTTTTTTCACCTATAAAATTTTAGTATTGACAAAATTTCATGCCAGAATAATCTTAATAATAAAATGAATAAAATTCTTAAGAGCTTGAAACTTTTTTCATAAAATCCAAGGTTTGAATTGCAAATGAAAAATCGCATAAAAAAAATATACAATCAAACTGTGATTTTAAAAGTGATTTTATGATATATAAAACAAGAAGGTGGTTGGAATTTTGTCTCCATTTGCGAGAACACACATAAACAATCAACCCCCTTCCCAAAAAAAAAAAAAATCACATGACTTCTTGAAATGCCTTTTTCCTTCACAACCAAGTAAGGTGCAGTTTAAATTGAGCATAGGTAATAAGCAGAAAGTTTTAAATTTACACTTCATTTACCAAAAATCGGGAGAGATGCTGAAGAGACAGTAATTGCATTAGGGCCAAATTGAGGACCAAGTTTTCATTGTACAAACAATCTGTGTGATGAAAGAATAGATCAATAAGGAATAACGCTTATGAGACAAAATCGCCAATGCTATTATCATACATGACAATCAATACACCATAAATTTCAAATAAACCTATCATAGGCAGAAGTGGCTCAGCAATAAATGGTAGGAGTCCATGAATAAGTTTTATAGTATCTTCATTCATTTTCGGCAACAATATTTGGTTCCTCGCCTTGGCACAGGTACTGATCACACACTGATGCTGATCCCCAGCCCTTTCTAAGCCGCAAGATGTCTTCAGTGAAAGTGGAGCCCGGGGCTCCAACGAACACACTAGACATGGCACATATAGTCTTATCCAACATGGCCTCCACCTTAATTATAAAATATTCATAACGCATATCAGCAGGAGAATTTGATAGCAGAAAATGAGGAAAATTCAGTAGGCTTTCCTATTAGCACACATGACATGTCTAAATGCTTTTCATTCAATTTTATTGCCTTATCCCAAAAGAAGCGTGATGGAAAGTGCAATTAGGATTTTAAAATAAAAAATAAAAAAACAAAACAAAGTGAAGTACGTAACTAAAACTCAGCGTAAATTTTTTTTTTTTTTAATGAGAAAAACTCAGCGTAAATTTTGAGTCTACACTAAACTAAAATGCAGCCCCGCGCTCTGGAACCTTGTATCAGAAGCTGCTACCCAAAGCAAGTGAAAGATCACCTGCAGGAAAACTGGAAGCAATAATTTGAGTATCACACGGCCTAAAGTTCGTTAAACTTTCATTTTCCTTTCTTGAAAGCAACAAGTTGAGGTAGAATAACAGAATTAATAGACTTATATTTACACAGTGAGATTTTTGGATCCGGCTTCTGTGCAGATTACACTTTACCAGTCATTTACAGATCAAACTAAAAGATTCTATAATTGGCTATAGATTTCAAACTTAGATACCAATCTCTCCGTTTCTATCTATAAATAGAAAGAGAGAAGAATAAAAGACACACATACTGATTTGCAGATGATCTGTTTCTTAAAGAAGTCAGTTGAGATTTTGGGTTTCAACAATACGAAAATAAACAGGCACATCACTTTGCGCCTGCACTAATACAAATGAATGCATTGAAAGGTTATGTTTCATTCTAGCTGGGTCGCTACCATCATCCCATGAGTCAAATAAAACAGAAGATTGATCCAGAAGATAAAATACGCAACAACAGCAAGAAGAAAGCAGCTATCCCCAAAAAAGAAAGGGAAAAAAAAAAAGAAAAGAAAAAGAAAAAGAAAGCACAATAAAAAGATGTGTTGTCTTAATTTTAAAGTTTCTGAAACAATCAAAGGCCAGACATGGATTAGTGAAACGATAATGTTACAGCTCAAAACCACATGAAAGAGCACTATCATCTCACCTGAGAATCTCCCTCAATACCATGCCTGTATAATAGAGCATCCCATTTTTCTGCTGAATTACGAGCTGGGCGTTTTACAAGTGGAACAGGCTTGTTATTCAGCACAACGAGTGACTGAAGCAAATCAGTTTCACTTTCTGCTGCATCTGTGGAAAGATAAATGACAGGCGCATTGGCACTCTCAACCACTCGCAAAATGCAATCTGCGGCTTGAGGGATGGGGTAAAAGCAACTTGGTTTTTTGACATTACTGCAAATATGACAATGGATCATTAGAGATAATACAATGAAGAATAATATAAAATACAAAAAGGAAAAATTGCAGGAAGATTTCTCATGAGGAAGAAGGCCAAATTGCAAAAGTATTGGCATCGACATAGTTCCAATAGATTGTATATAGGTCAGAAAGAAAACATTGAAATAGTCATGTGCTGAAGATTAAACGCTGTAAGCAGTTCACATGTTAGAACTAAGAAACCCTGAAGTTGCAGGCAAAATGTCCAGAGTAGAGAAAAGTTATCACCCTGAAATCATCATAAAAATTGATACTTCCTTTCCAGATATATGTGCACAGAAATCATTTCGAAAGGACGCACCAGAATTTCAAAAAGCCGTGTCTTCGAAAATGTAAAGCAATGAAATTCCTCCCCAGGAACGTTTGAATAAAACGCTGAGCAGTGAGTATGATAAGACGGCTAGGTTCAATCAGAGTCTTGCATTTGTGAGCAAGTGGACCACCTGGTTGCGTTACCCATTCTTGTTCCACGTCAGCAAAGAAGACATCCCCGATTGCCATTACATCATCATCGTACGTAAACTTAGATAGAACATCTTGAGCTGTCCTCTTGTTAGGCTTCTTGGTATCCTCAACCCAAACAGACTCCGGTTTGCTTACTGACAAACCCAACGACTTGAATTTCTTTATATGGTCCTCATCCAGATAACAAGGTTGGGGAAGAGAAAAGTAACATAGGAACTTATCTATCTTCATGTGATCCTTCTTGATATCAGCAAATTCATCAAAGGAGATGACAACCTTTCTTCCCAAGCATTTGTTAATGTGATCGATATCCAACACTCTATCATACTGATAATCCACTTTCGAGCTCGGAATAACCAATACCCGATTAAGAAGAGCCGCGAAAAACATATGCTTCTCCAAGCAAATTAGATGGTTGGACATCTGGCCTGAAACGCATATGGCAAGCAGAAATTTATCAGCTTTTGGCTTCCACTCAATTGTTCTTCTCTGTGACAAATTTTGATCCACTGTTCTACACCTATCATAACTGACATCACCCAAACTAGCATTTCCAAAACTGAATTCGGGTTCAATCGAATTCCCAGTCTTATGGGGAGACAACAAAACCTGTTGAACCTCTTTATTCAAAGAAATCTGCTTAAACAAAATAGATTTAAGATCTTCTAACAATGCCGAAGATGAGAACGAGGGCAAGTGATTCGGATCCTGCATTGGCGAACTTGAATTCAAATCATTCGTTGAATTGACAGCAGAAACCAGTCGAAATGTGTGATTCCAAACACTCAAAAGCTCCGACTGCTGCTGCTGCAAGAGATGGAGAGCGCGCAATTCGGACTCCTTCATTTGCTCACTCAGCGGATCGAACTTTAAAGAAGGGAAACTGGTGGGAAAGAGCGTGTGGGCATCTGTTGTGAAGTACAGGAGAACAATGAAAATACCGAGAACGACGAACAAATACCTCTTCCGGAACTTGAAATTCAATCGGGGCATTCGAGAACTGAAATCTTCTATGTGGAACACACCAGCAGTAGAAGAGGGTGGAGTAGGAGGCTTCCTCACATTCTGCTCAATCAAATTGTGGCGGTCATCTTCTTCGTCCGAAGATAAATCTCTCTGCATTGCTACCCTTAGCAACGGTAACAAAAACCAGAAATCGAGCCCGCCACTGAGTACTCAATGGAAGCAACAGTAGTGGAGGCAATTGAGAAGAGCTAGTGTAGCTCACAATATGATCACTGAGTCAGCGACTCGGTAAGTTTGAATGAGTGAGTGACAATGATGAAGGAGACGAAAATGAGCAGATCCCGCGAGGCGCGATGGGGAAGGGAGGGAGCGGAAACGTAAGCAGCGAGCGAAAGGGAATGGTTGATCCGTCGGTTGTTGCCCAGGAAAAATAAAAATTAAAAATTAGAAGAAAAAATTGGTCGGTACATTTTTTGGCATCAAATCAGCGGGTGGGTGAAAGTGACGGTTTGGCGGCCCATATCAAAGGCTTGGGGCCTATGGCAGTTGGAGGCCCAACTACTGATTATGATACTAATTTTTGTCATTGCTTCATTTTTTAAAAAGATAAAAGGCTTATATATCCCGAAAATATCTACAAATAAGCACTTAGTGTTTAAAAAATTTTAGCTCTTATATACCCTAAAATTTTTTTTATAACAAACTTATCTTGGTTATTGTCTGCCGTTAAATTTGACTATTAAATTATGCAAGTTGATCGATTTCTTTAACAATCAAACTTAACCACAAATAACGGTTCAAAACATAAATGTTACAAAATAAAACTTTCAAATCAAATAAGAACAAAAAAAACCTTTCAAGTGTTAGGTGCTCCTTTATATATACTTCTAGAGTATTTCAAGACCTTATCCTCTTTTTTTGTGACAAAATTTTAGAAAGGGAGTTGGGCTCATCCATAAAGCCTTGGCTTTGAATATGCCTCTCCAAGCACCGCAACAATTTTAGGAATCAAAACCCTTTCTTTTGATAAAAGTGTCCAACTCTTTAGCCACTGAATCCACATTACGATAGGTCACTTTATCCCTTTTTAAAACAATTTATTCAATAAAAGAACACTTATTCATATAAAATCCTTTGCAAATCACTTAAAAAAAATTAATTGATATTAGAAATGAGAAGAAAAATAAATAGTAGGACCTAAACTTGACAGGAGATATTACAGAGATCTTAAAAATTATAAATACTACTAAAGAATAGAAGTTACTAGTTTTAGACACTTATTTTAAAGTTTTGACAAAATTATTGTTGAAATTATTTAAACTGTAATTTTATTAAAAGTTTATAAAAATTATCTAAAATTTGAGAATAACTTAATTTTTTTTATTACATTTAAGTCCTTAAACATATTCTGCAATAAAGGAAAAGTTTTTGAATGACCAATTTAAACCGAGATTTTCTAATTAATACCTCTAGACTTCATTTTTATGTGATGTGGTGAGCACACATAATTATTTTCCAAAGCTTCAGTTAATCTTGATTAGAGAAAATCATTGGCATGCTGAAAATGGATGCCATTTTTATTTATAAAGTGCAGACTTATTGAGAAGTAGAGTGGAAATGAGTAGAAATTAATAGATGGTTCAAGACAAGAATCAAAGAGTTATCTTTTAACCATTCCGGAAGGTTTCGGTACTAAAAGGGGAAGAAAAAAACCAGCTCAGATCAAAGTACCAAGACACGCAGCTATGGTCATTTGATGCCACGTAATACAGGGGCATGAAGTGGAGGCCTCTAGAGGAAGCCATATTTCATCATGCCATAAACTCTTTAAAAAGTGGAGGCAGGGATATCATGAACATGAAATGCATGTACTGGAAACTGAAGTTAAAGCAGTGTAATTTTTTTGCCGCTGAATTGATTGGCATGGAGAGGACAAGAAAGGCCCTCTTGCTTTGCAGGAAATGGATGAGCACTGGTCAGTGGAAGCTCATGACTTCAAAGGCTTCCAACAGGGCTGCAGTTCATGGGGTTAAGTTGCCTGTACCTGATGCCATCAATGTAACGAGATTGATATATTTGTGATTTATATCTGTGCTAACCATTTATGAGATATCGAATTTTTGTATTGTCTTCTTTGGGGACTGAGAATTCCGTTCTGTGTGGTTCTGCAGAAGGACGAAGTGGAAAGGGAAATTCAGAAAGCGAAAGAAGAGAGAGAAGCCAGGAGGAAACAGATTGAGAAGACAGTGGAATCCCATGTGAACTCTTCCCCCACGTCTGATCATTCTTCTGATGGATAGATTTTGTCGTAGTTGGTCAGGACCCAAACGAAATCAGCATTGTGCAGTTCAAATAGATGTGATATAAGTTGTTGTCTATGTTATTTTTTATGACCCTCCTGTCCCAATCTATTGACTCTTTTGCTTCTCTTTTTCAAATATCAAAGACAAGTCGCAAGAGAGAGACTTCCAGGTTGTCAAGAGTAACACAGAAAACTTAAAGCCATGGGAACCTACACATTCACGCACGCACACTTAAGAGGGAAAGATTGAAAGAAGAAATGAGTAAGAAAATAATGATGACAATGAAAATTAATGAATTGTGGTATCTATCATAGCGTTTAAAACTGAACTAATCTTTATATCATTTCTAATGAGTTTCTTCAACTACTTCGACCAGTCTTCCACGAACCCACTTCTTAGTTACAGTAAGTGATTTTGAGGGCGTTTCATCTTTAACAGATTGAATTTCCATCCCTGGAGGAGATGGGTCTGCCTTGTGCTCCATGCCCGGGTCTTGTAGGGTTTCCTTTGGTTGATTTGTTGAATCCGATTCACTTTCAAAACTCAAAGCAGAGGAGGCAATATCGTTGGTGGTTGAAAGGTGAAGCTTTAGATCACCATTAATTAACTCATGCAGGGGAAATTTGCCATCAGGTAACTTGTAATCACTTGATGGTAATGCTTTGTGCCCATTTACTGGGCCAGTATCTGATTGGTTTGAAGTCTCCAGTGTTGCACCTTCTCCCCGATCAATCTCGCTCAAGGAACCAGAAGAAGAAACAGTACTCTCAGTTGCAAGTTGTGTTTCAATGGATTCAAGTGATTGAATAGCTTCATTTATAAGCTTTCTGGTTTCTATGAGGGAAGCTTGTGCAATAGGACTCTTGGTTGCAGCAACCTCAAGCGCGTTGGCAGCCTTCTCAGCTTCAGCAATTAATAGTCTGCACAGTTGCATATCATGTCACGAATATACTAGTTAACTTCATTTGACAAAGCTTTCAAAGCAGATGATTCAATTCGATCACAGTAAAATTCATTAATCGTTAAGCCATAGTTTAAAGTCCTTAAAAAGAGGAGGGAAGTTCAATGAAGGCATAAACTTTGGACTTTGGGTCTACACAGAAACTCAATAGTAAAATTCAATTCAACTGAGAAGTAAAGGAATAATATTCTGCCACGAGTGCAAGTAAAGATGAATTTACCTTGCGCGTTCAACGGCCTCAGTCTGTTTGGTTTCTGCAGCAGCTCTTTGTGCTCTGATGTTCATTATCATGTCAAACTTAAAACTCGCTAAAGGATCCTTGTAAACAGGAGATTTTCTTCTTCGCAGCTTTTGAGTAAGAACTCTCTCATTACTCTTGGCAAAACTTCTAGTTTCACTAGAACTTTTCTTTACAGAGTTCCTCCTAGGGGATTCTGTACCATCGCTTGGCTTTCTCCTTGGTTTCCTTTCAGTTTTATCAGAAGTACCATGATACTTGGCCAATGCAGAGCAAACTCTTTGACGGTATTCCTATTTGAAAATTAAAAAACAAAAGTAGGTCAGGAAACATGCTAACAACTCTAGCCGGTGATGACAAAATTAAAGCTCAAAATTTAAAAGTTAAATGATGGCTTAAGTAAGAAGCTCAAAATATACACGAGACCATCAGAAGAAAAGAACAAAATAAACGATGTCAAACATATCTGTTCCACGATCATCTTGATGCTGGATAGGAGTACTTTGAACGAATAAACCATTTGAGAAACAGGATAATTGAATAAACGAAACTCAGTAGTCATATAGATAAGGGTCGAGGGGAAGCTGACGATAGGCAACACGAAAATGTGCATGGACTTATACCAATTCTTGGCAGAAGACAATGGTAGACCATAAAAGTGTAATCAGGGAATAAAATCTCCATCTAAAACACGCAACCTACGTTTCTAGACGTTTAACCCCTCTGACTGCAGCCTTTTGACATGTGAAACAAAGATCAATTGGCAACAGAATAGTGAAACACTTAAACTACCACTCAGCATCATATCGCAAACTTTTAGGTTTCACATGAATTCGAACAAATATGTTTGAAAGGAAATCTTAAGGGGCATGATCATAAAAAATTGGCGATGTTACGACCATACACAGAGTATTGAACATGTGGGTCCGGATTTAGATTTAAAGTATCATAAATATCAATGCACAAATCTAGAAGCTGTAGTAACCAAATATAACTAATGCCAAGGTGAGAGATATGCAACAGTTAATGGCAGGGAAATTAATTTCTAGCCACTTCTACGAGACATCACTAGCGTGCTGGACGGGTAGCCTGTTCATTACTACCCTCTTTTATGTGACCTAATGTGCAAGGCTGGCAATCTGTTAGCTAAGTGCAATAACTGGCAGAGTTTGGCGTGCTGTGAAAGTGGAACCATAAAGCATGCAACTTCAAGGTGTTGACATATGCTTACGGGATCGGCCCATTTTGCAGAGATGGCTTCAGCAATCTTCCTTCTCTGCTCAAGAGATTTGGGTGCTCTTTTACTATGAGGTGCCCTTTGCATAATTTTCCTTTGTTCAATACTCTCGAGCCACTCCTGCTGCAGCTGTTCATTCAGAGTTTCATAAGATTTCCATTGCATCTCTTCCTCGCCAACAAAGCCCTGTCTAGAAGCTTCTGCAATTAAATTCTGCCACTCAAAGATACAAGCTTCCTGCACCATCCTTTTTGCCATCCTTCTTTCCCAACCCTTTCTCACTCCAATGCCAATCTTCTGTCTTGTTGCCATGCTGCACAACCAATAAAGAAGGCTGAATTCAGTATAATGCACGGAGAGAACAGGTTATCATCAAATGAGAGTATTTATATCAAAATAAATAGGTGATAGGCATCAAAGAACTTCATTGGCCTAGTATAAATTTAGGAGCTTTTTCGCACGCCATCATCGTTATTCAAGTATCTTGGATGTCAAGAAGTATATGAGATTCTAATGTATTCTTGTTCATATCTAAAATGTCTGGTGGCATTCAAGGACTATGGTTGAGACGAGCTCCTTTTTAGTGGCATTTCATATCACCAAAAAACTGTGGAGATCTCACATCCCTAAAGTTTTAGCCTTGAACCCATGGCACATAAACCTTACATGTCATGCGTCATGCACCATTTCTTTCACAACTTCAATTGCCATATCAAGCATGAGAATCTTGAATCCTATGGTATCCATTCGCGAAAAAGGAAAAAAAAACACACTATGGTGGGTCCAGTGGACCAAATGGCCCCTCAATAGTAAACAAGTTCAAGTGAGGCAGCATATATACTCACGTTTGTGCGTGTCCAAGATCAACCAACTTCATTCGGACCTGCATCACAGAATTTTGTCAAGAAAATTAATTATTGGAATAATGTCAGCCAGAGTGAAAAAAATCTAATCAACAATCCAAGTCAAATACATTATTAAAACCTGACTAGTCGAGTAATGTGAACACTAACTAATCCCCATCGATAATTGCCATTAAAGTTACAGCTCAACTAAGAAGTTGTTAAACGAAACAAAGGCCAGGTAATAGATGCAAGATTTGAATTTTAGAAACTACATTTTCAGATATGCTCAATCTGGCTAGCCAATAAGACAAAGTTAAGAATTAATTTGACTCATTGAGGGGGTGGGGGATCTTCTATAAGTACATTACTTAGAAATTGAAAAACAACCAAAACTAGAGAAGTCATCAAAGATGAGCTTACTTTACTTGGGTGGGGTCAGGGAAACTGCTGGAAAGAACATTTTACTCCCTCCTGGTTCACGAAAATTGTCACCTTGGAGTTTTTCTGATTTTTTAAACTATTTGTCACTTTAGAATTTCAATGAAGTATATTAATTATTTGTTTTACAATTTTACCCTTCATTACAAAGATGTTGGAAGGTGGAGTACACACATATAAAAAGGAAGAATTATAATCAGGTCCCCAAGAAAGGATTTAATTACCTTAAAGTCCATTGACAAATGTAAGCAATGACAAATTCTAGAGTAGGAAATAACAATAAGTTCAAACTGATCACTTATCATTGGGACTTTTTGATAATTAAATTTCTTCCTAGGTACCTCTTGGTAATTCTCCCTTAAAAAACAACTATCAGATAGTGTATCTAAAAGATTATTTAAGACAAGTGTGTTTTAGTAAAGTACCATTAAAGTTTGCTATGATCCAGGTTATATAATTATTATTATTCCTGGTTTGTATAACAAAATCCCAAAGGGGTAATTTTGTGAATCGGAGGGAGCAATATATTATATCAAAATCTGGAATAATGCAGTAAAGGATATAAGGAAATTATTATTAGCATCAAAATTGTAGCTATGGAATTGTAGTTGTCATTATTTTAAAAGTGCAAGTCACTTATATATGTGCTTTGAGAGGGACAAACTTAACAAAAATAGGAATTGATTTCCTGTTAAGAATATGAAAAATATAAAAGGTTCCTAGACTTCATTTCTTCAAGTTATAGTCCTTTGCAGTTTTTCCTATCAAGAAAAATTAGGCCACCATGAAGAAGTAGAATCAATGTCTGGTCTGCCTGAAGAATCTAAATCCGTTGCTGGTGAGTGATCATGCATTGTAGAATTTTCATAACACAAAAAAAAAAAGAAAGGAAAGGATGTTATGTTACTTGATATCACAATTTAAAGACATTCTTACATGACATCACCTTTGGGTTCTGCATAGCCAGCCTGGTCCTTTCCCTGATTTTCTGTAAAGTTTCTGCAGACAAAGTCAACATTTGAAAAGATTTTAGAACTCGGAAAAAAGGATAGATGAAGATATAAGTCACTGGAAAGTGAAACAAGGAACTACAATGATTAATTTACCAGGACTATGCTTCCTGCCTTTGTTCCATGGTGTGTTTCCTGAATTTGCTTTTGAAATTCTCATTCTTCTCATCTTCTCCTTCTCATCAAGTTCTTCTGGCTCCTCATTACAAGAGTCATGCCGAACTACAGGCCGGTTAGAATTTACACCCGCATCTGAGTCCTTAAAACTCAAACATTTATCTTCATCTGCAGCCAATCTCTTTGGTTCAAGAGTAGCAACTGCTTTAATCAACAGTCTGCCCCTCGACCACTCACGACGTCCCTCATTGAATCTCACCTTTTTAAACTTTTCCAAAGATTTCCAAGCACAAGGAAGCCTCAGCTCTTTACCATATGTAAACGAAATTGATGCTATTTTACCATGAAGAGGCTTTTGAGCTCGGAGTGAACACGAAGTATAGTGGAAGTAGGGCTGCGCATTTGCGATCTCTGGTCACAAAATTCAAAAATGGAAGGGGGCAAAAAATCAAGAATGAATAGTATCATTATCTGCTAGAACTAATAAACAAAAAGAATGACTCTGAAATTAACGGAGGTCATTTTTTTTGCCATAAGAGGAAGTCAAATTCAAGGATAGTAGAAGCCGCCGGTACCATACGATATATTCAGATGATGGATACAAATGGCTCTTTAAGCTTAAATCCTCAACAGTTAGTCAAGAACACATTAACAGAAGTAGAAAAAGAAATGGAAGACGATAACAAAGGAGAGAATGAGCCAGAAAAGCACAGAACAGAAAGAGAAAAGGGCGTAGGAGAGCGTACCCAGTAAAGGCATGGGAACTCATTCAGCAATCTACACTGACATGAAGAGTGCATAACTTGGAGGAGACAGCATCAACTTATGCTCCTTTTGGAATCGCTCTTGAAGCGTTGAACTGAAGTGACTGAGAATTGAGTCACTACAGAAGAAGTATATGCAGTGAAAGCGAGAATCAATCTACACCGGGCAGAGAAGGCTAAGCCAGTTAACGGGGAAATGCACGACGCAGGAGCAGCCACGCACATCCACAAGTGACGAAGAGCGAGCCAGAATTGGATAACAAAACGAGAAGAGTACTCACTAGGAAAGAGCCCGCAAATCCCAAAGCCAGCAGATATTTCTTAATTTCTACTATTTATATTTATTTTGATTCTAAATATAAGAACCCAATTCACTTTGTCTCTCATATTTATGTATTTTTTTTCAAGATAGTCTTTCTAATAATTGTAGTTCCAGCTAGTTGATTAGTAAGGATATTTTAAAAAAGACAACACCTATTTATTACAAATAACTAACTTAAATTCTTTCTTTAATCTCTTCAAATTAGTCAACTGAATCTTATAATTAGGATCGGAGGTAGTATAATCTTCTTATATGGGGCTTTGAGTGGTATGGGCCAGAATTGGATTATTGAACAGTGGGCCGTTGTGAACGCACTGTGGAAACACACTTCATGGGCCTTCTATGCGTTTTCAGGATCCCTTTCAAAAACATTATGCTTTGCTAGACACAAAATTATTTTCTGACCAAAAAGACAAGGACGCAAAATTATTTAAGCTAGCTCGGGGAAAATATGAGTCTTTAAACATTTTATAATTCATATTTTTTTTGAAAAATATAATTTATATTTTTTTTGCTAACTACGGGTATCCTCATATTTGAGGCACTCATATTTCATATTTGAGGCATTGTAATTTATATTAAATTATACTGAATGAATATTGATGTCATAATATTGGGCCTTTAGTGTATGGGCCTAAGATAGAAATAGGTAAAAAGAGTCTCGGCAAAAGAAGAGAAATTACTGTGTTTTTGAGTGAAGAAGAGAATTCACTGTTAATGTAACATCAATCATAGCTAAACTTAATGTAATCTTATTGGCGTCAAAATTAAATTGAAGTATAGTTTTTAATCCAAAAATAAAAAATATGCAATATCATGGTATTGATTCAATATATATATTTGTCAATAAAATTATATACATGTTCTATTTGCTAGAGAACCACTCCAAAAAAAATTTTTTAAAAAAAAAGGACGCGCATCATCGTATTCTTTGATCTAAGCATGATTCTTGAACGATCTCGAATGAAAATATTACTCGAAATATTTTTTTTGCTAAATTAGAAACCATATGCACATCTAAGCACTTAGATTATTAAACTATGAGAAGTGCCTAGATACCCATCAACATTTTTTCCTGTCTGGATGGAGTAGCATGTTCTAAGTTTTGTTTAGTATTTGATTCCTCTCGCATGTTCATTTCGTTTACTTATTTGAAATAAAAATAGGAGTCTAAATTTTAATTAAAATTACATTATTCTATCATCACGATACAGGAGAATATATTCACTCCTCACTTGCATAAACAAAATTAAAGGTCAAGCTCTTTTTTTTGCGCTTGAAAAAAAAAAGTTTTGATAAATGATAAATCTATCCAAAAGTTATCGGACCCTTATTTCAAGTTTCACCCTTATAATTGCAAGGGAGAAAAATTGTGTCAGATATGTGAAGGAGAAAAAGGGGAAAAAAACAGAGAGAGAGAGAGAGAAGGGAAGGAATATTTTGACCTTATCTAATTAATTTCCGGCTCATCTTTTGCGGCCCCGCCCCTAGATTAGACGTGTCACTTTATAAAAAGCATACAAATTACAAGCTACAGATCCTCGTGCCGTGGAGATTTTTTTTTTATACAAAAAGTAGAGATTAAAACATTAAAATACGTATTATAATAATTATTATTATTATAAAATTACCGTCTTTGTCTAAGGGTGTCTAAAATATTTTTCACATAAATCAAAATAAAACTCTTTCCACATTCTCACTTCATATATTATAAAATTATTTTTAAAACTATGATTTAATTTTTACTTAAATACTCTCTAACACTATGTGCTGTTGCAAAAAATTTATCAGTACCATTTGTTAGATTTCTACCAAGTTAGCCACCTCGCCTGTACATTTGTGAAGATTATGCCTGTTTTATATTTTAGCCTCTTTAAACATAAAAATAAAAATTTATAATTTTTTAGCAAAAAAATTAAAATTTAAAATCACACAATGGATAAAATAAATAATTAATTTATATAGATTAAAAAAATTAGTTAAGTTACTTATTTATAAAAAATGTGTTAATTCCTTCTACAATATTATGTTTTAATCATTTGCAATGAAAACTAAAAAAATAGTTATTTAATATATATTATCAATATATGGATAATAGATAAAATAAATAAATTTATAAAATTCATAAATATAAGACTTCTTTTATAGTGTAATTTTATACTACAAAATAAATCTTATATTTAAAATTAGAAAGAATAATATATATTAGTGTCATTTAAAATTAAAATAAATCATATTACAAAATAAGTTTTATATATTAAGACTGAAAAGATTAATGTATATATATCAGTGTCATTTAAAATCAAAATAAACATCTTAATTAATACTTAAACTAGCGCATATGACATATGTACTATTTCTAATATTTAATATAAACTAAATCTTATATTAATATTTTGACACAGTATTTATGTTTTGCGTGCATAAAATTTAAATAAAGTGGAGTATTGAGTATGCACTGAGCAGCAGAGGGACATGTGCTGCATCGGCCATAATTGCATCTTTATGAAAAGCCTACTTTTGAGGCTGATATTAAGAATGAATAGTCTGCTTTAATTCATTTTTACATTTTATATATAGCTTTAATAAATTATAGTATTATACTACCCCAGCCCTCGCCCTTATATAGGTAATATTCACTTTCAAATTAAAAACAATAAAAAAAATATGCATGCCACTTAAAGTGAACTAACTAGAAGTTCAACTACTACCCAATATTAATTAAACTGATCCATTGCTACTTCTGAATTCTGATATTACACATATTGGCAGAGGGTTTTTTTTTTTTTTGGGGGGGCATCAGAAGTATTTAAACTCTTTTTTTTATTTATAGTTTACCCTCATTATTTGAGCTCGTCCAAATAACATTATCTAATAGGTTTAGATTAAAACGAGTGAATACAATTGTAATACTCCTCCAATCTTTAATATAAGACCTATCTAACTAATCTGATTAAATTAAAAAAGTCAGATAAGTTAATTAATTATAAAAAATATGACATATTTTTTCTAAAATACCAAAATCATCTTCTTTAGTAACCCTCTTCTACTTAATTATGTTTGAGGGGGTATCTATAATGGTAATTTTAAAAAATTGATAATCATGATAAATATGTTTTATATTTAAGACTAAAATTAACTCAATAATTAAGTTCTATATTAAGGATAAGAGGAGTAATTCAGTTCCTTGCTTGCGTTAGGCAAAACAATGTCATTTTAAAATTGTAATCCGATAATGTGACATAATGAATCAAATTAAATAATTTTTTTCCCGACAACAGTACATGGAAAACCCGCAAAATACGTTAAACTCGTTAAAAATCTGGTAAATTCAAAGTACGCACACAAATCTTTTATGTGCTTATGAATTAAACTATATAATTATTTGAAAGTAAGTTTAAATCAATATCGTAATTAATGCACAATTGTTTTTTTTTTTAAGATAGAAATTTTTTTGGGCCGAAAATTGAAAAGACAGAAAAGGTTAAAATGGCATGAATGGCTATAATTGGGAAAAGATCAAATAATGATTTTGTCGAAGACTAGAAGCAAAGATCTTGACTTTGGGGGACGGGTGAGCCAGCTTATACCCCAAATCATGGCAACAAGTGCGTTTCAATTTTAAATTGCGTCTAGTTCCTTCTTCAATGGGACCTTTCAGCCCCTTCCCCCCCCCCCCCAATCCATCCCTCCATTTAAATTAAATTTTATATACTCTCTTGCAGTCCTACATATAATTTTTATTTTTAAAGGTGAGCCTGATTTAAAATATAAGTTTTATTTTTGAGTTGGTCTAAACATTTACTATTCTCTCTTTTTTTCATATTTTGCTTTTAGTTCATTATATTTAGTCCTCTCTCTCTTATTAATATTATTCCCATTTTTTTATCATTTTTGTCATGTATTGTCTCTCATCTATGCTCTTAATAAACAAGAGTAAGTTTTAAAAAATTATTTTAAATTTATTTATTACTTTTAACTAATTTTATCGATTAGGTTATTTAAAACTTATATATGATATTAGAGTGAGTGTAAATTAAGAAATTGTTTATTATGAATATTATGCGCACAAGGAAAGCATAAAAGGCATCCAGAGCCTTAAAAAAAAAAAACAAATAGTCCCTCTGATTCTCTGTAAAATATTTTTAGAACAGTTAATTTGTTAGCCATTGTACTTTACTTATTTTTTAGTTAGATCTCTGTAATTGTTTATTAAGTTTTTATAATTTTATGAATTATAAACATTAGTTCTCATGCTCATAATCTGTTGCTACATTAAATTTATGAAAAAAAATGTCATTGATAAAATTATCTGAAGAGGCAGAATTAATTTAACTATATGTACTATAAGTTAACGTGATGTGGGATTGTGCATTATACGAATTCTTAAAAACTAATCATTGTGATATGTTAGAGTTTTTACGTTTTACATTGATTAAAAAATATTCGCATAGCAATTTTTTTTTGTTCGAACATGGAAAAAGTTAAGGGACAAAGATTTGGATCTTCTTATATTGGCCTGGAAAGAAAAGATGGGGGAGAATAAAGGATGTGTGCATGTGAGAATACCAGACAGAATTAAAACATCTAAGAGTTAATGGGATCGGCTGGGGTGACCCCTATGCCTTTTAATGTCGGATAGGCTAAGTCAATTTTCTTTTTCCTTTTTTATTTTAATAATAATTTATCACTTAGGAATCATGGCATTTCACTATCATTGGAATCATTAAGTCCCCGTTTGGCATGGCTGAGCGATGAAAATTTTCCATAAGCACATTTTATATAAACCGAGATAAAACTTCTATCTAGAACTGGGAATCAGGGCCGGCCCTTCATGGCTGATGGGCTTAAAAGGGTCGGCCTTTCAGAGCTGAAATTTTAAAAATACTCCAATTTGCTAGGCCCGGCCCTTAAACTACAGGGCCAGGGCTGGCCCGCGGGCTTTGGCCCATTTAAGAAAAAATACTATTTTTTATATTTATCATATTTTTTTATAAAAATATAAAAATAAACCAATGAAATTAAAATTAAGTCACAAATATAAAATATCATCATATATAAATATTCATCAACATCTAAGAACATCTAAAACATTTATTAACAAGATAACAACATCTAAAAGTTTTATCTATAATGCAATTGTGCAATAAATAAACACTATCATTAATCTTTTGAAACTTCATCATCATTATAATTAATTACTTTTCTTTATAAGTATGATTTTCTTTCGTAACAAAAATATCAAATTTTTCTTCTTTATAAGAATTTTATTTTTAAATTTTGCAATCTAACTATTATTTTACTTTAATGTGAGAAACATTGTTATTGAAACTCATGAATTTTTAATTCAAATTATAGAATCACAAGTATATAAGTATAAAAATATTCTATTATCAAATATATATATAGTTTAAAAATATCAACGCATATAATATAAATCAAATCACTATTAAAGTCCAAATTAACCCATTTTTTAAAAATTTAATTAGATAAATTATTGTCTAAAACTAAATTTAATTTTAAAATGATAATAATAGCTAAATATTTGAAATATTATTAACAATGTAAAAAATTAATAACATTAATATTATATAAAAAAATTAAAAAATAAAAAAATTATAAAAAGGCTTAAAAGGGCCGGCCCGCGGCCCTCCAGGGCCTATTTATCATTTTAAGAGAAAAATATTAAGCCCGGTCTTCATAATTTCATGGTCTAAACGGGTCGGCTCGACAGGCTCGACCCGTTTTCCCGACTCTACTTCTATCACATATTTACCACATATTTCATAAATTATTATTAAAAAATTATTTATAAACTGTTGCAACCAAACCTTAAATAAGTTCAAGAAAAAGCAAAAGTTATCAGCATATCATGCGCTGTGCAGATATGGTAGATATTGCCCGTTCTTTTCATCACAAACACGCACACACATATATACATGCTAAAATTATTAATAATAACAATAAAATCGAAAAAATAGTTAAATGCTTCTGAACTAGTCAAACCCAAATCAATTCCCTGATTAGAAAATCCTCGGATAAGTTCTTTGAACCAGAATGAGTCCCTTGCGTCAAAAATTTGCTTAGCACTTTGAGCAAAATTCACAAAGATCGTTTAGTTTACTCACACACACACATCCACAAATCTATTTTAAAACAGTTTTAAGCCTGAAGGAGATTATTTGAGTATTAAACGCAAAAAGAAAATTCATATACAACCTCCATACAACTTCATATTTGAGTTTTGAGGTTATTATAAAAAGAAGAGTGCTAAGAAGGGAAAAGAAATAAAGGGGTTAAAAAAAAAAACGGAGAACAAATAAACTTGGAAACCGTAATAAAAAAACAAGCCCTTAAAGGCGAAAAAGAAACAAGGGCATCATTATTTTTTATTTTTTATTTTTGCTATTAAACCATAAGTGCCATCTTTATTCTAATTGAATTGATTTTATGAGATATGTGAAAAATAAATACTCTCTTCCGTCTCCGGTCTGAGAATTAACTAGAGAGTTTGATTTATTTTTAAATATAAAATTTTGATTTATTTTATTTTTTATATTTATAATTTTTCTCTCACTATGGGCATATTGATTGTGCATATCAGGTAGAGGATTTTTATCGAGAGATAATTATCATGCAAATAAGCATGGAGATATTTTAAGGAAATCCATCCATATTTTTTCTTACCCAAGATAAGTTTAATATATTTGATTATATATGGGTAGAGGATGTAAATAACATACTACCTCCAGTCCTTAATATAAAACCTTGTTTGATTTTTATTTTGGTCCTAAATACGAGACATCAATCTACTTTGTCTCTCACATTTATATTTTTTTCAAGGTAGTCCTTATAATAATGATAGTTTCAGCCAATACAATTGATTAGTAATGATATTTTAAGAAAAACAACACCTATTTATTAAAAATAACTAACTTAACTTTCTTTTTTAACATCTTCAAGTTAGTTAACTAGCTCTTATAATTAAAATTGGAGGTAATAATTAGATAGGCATTGACTTGAATCTGGACTTATAAAAGAAGTTGAACGATGCAGCTCTTATTTTTCCTTTCAGTTTAACGGTCACTCTAATTTTGTCTGATGGCCATCGTTTGGTGTCAGTTTGGATTAGGTAAAATAATTGTCGTCGAGGTCAACAAGGTTGGCCAATTTTGTCATTTTCTTTTCTTTTTTTTTCCTAAGTATAATTTTTAAAAAATTAATAGCAAGGGACACTACAAACATCTTTCAATGAGAATCAACACCAATTTTCTTCAAAGCACTGAAGATGAGTGGACTATTGTAATCAAATTTCCTCCGTTTACTAGACTCAATTTTAAATCAACATTAAAGATAAAAGCATCTACCACTTAAATTAAATGATAGACTTTAAAGGTAATGAAAGGCAGTATTATTTATTTTCAATTAAAAAGAACAAGCTCAAATCTTCAAAATTAAAAAAAGTAAAATAATATAAATATAGAATTTGATTAAAGTTTTTATAAATTCGAAAGAATACATGTTAGCAAAAATTGGAAAAAAAGTCAACCATTAAAAGTCTTATTAGCAAAAAGGACTAAATTTTTATATACAAAAAGCATTAATACTTTGTAATTTTGTAATTTTTGTACATAAGAGATTGCAGGTGCATTGATTTAGGCCGTTTTTATCATTAAATATTTTAATGTGGAGGGATGTTTTTCTCAATTTTTTTTATATTATATGAAACATAATATAAATTTTGTACATAATTTGTGAATGATTCGACTCAATTTAAATTTAAATCTGATACGATTGTATACGCAAAAAGCGCGATGGAAAAAGACAGGCGGTGGAAAATGGAGAAAGGCACGGCGGTTTGATTTTCAACAATACGTTTGTAATTTCCCCGCTTTTTTGAAGGGATCCACAACCACATTTCAATTAATTAAGAATTTGTGAGTTAAGAGTAGACTCCAATGCCGTCATCTTCTTCCTAAAGTCCAAGTCTCAAGTCCATTGTGCAGGTTCTCCTACTCCTCCTGCTTCTTCCTCCTTTGAATTCTCTCACGTTTTCGCTTACTTCTTCGTCCTCTTTATTCTCTGACATTCTCATCCCCAGAATCAAAAGCTAAATCCATCTCCTCCTCTTCTTTCTCCTCCTCCTTGCATTCAAAAATTCACAGAGCTTCAAAAGTTTGGACTTCTATGGTTTTCTTCTCGAGAACCCACAAATTCGAGTGATTTTCCTTCGGGGGTTTTTATTATTCGGTTCGTTTGCAAACTTCCCGGTGGCTTTAATTTGCAGCCTCCAAAAGGAGCTTCTTGAATTGCCAGAACATAAAGGGTAAGCCAGAATCATGGGTGACTCATTAGTGTCTAATGACAAATTGGGCGAATCTCCCGCAGTTGAAGTGACGGGAAAAATCATGGTGCTGGCTATAATAATCCTCTTCATGGTGGTGATTTTTGTTCTGTTTCTCCATCTCTACGCCAAATGGTTCTGGTGGAGCATAGAAGAAACCACTCCTCCACCGCCTCGTCGGCGCCGTCGGCGCCGCTTTGTCTTCGCCCCTGGGCAAGATCCGGCGATTTACGGCGGCCAGAGAAGTGGACTCGATCCGTCAGTGCTTTTGTCCTTGCCAGTATTAGTGTACCAACCTGAAAATTTTAAAGATGGTTTGGAATGTGCTGTTTGCCTCTCTGAGCTTGTGGAAGGAGAAAAAGCGAGGCTTTTACCCAAATGCAATCATGGTTTTCATGTGGATTGTATAGATATGTGGTTTCAATCACATTCTACCTGTCCACTTTGTAGAAACCCAGTTGCTTCTGAACCCTCTAAATGCAATAGCAGTTCAAGTGTTCGAGAAAATTCAGCAGAGAATATTGGTAGCCAATCACAAGCAGCGGAAAATTTTCAAAATTCAGCTTTAGCTGCTATGGGTGGTTCTGAGTCTCCAAATTTTCCAACTAATGTGTTGGTTTGGGGGAACCAGACTCAAGTTAGCTCTATTAATACATCTTCGGAAGAAGAGGGTCCTTCCTCTTCTTCCACTACAGCCAGCAGTAGCAGTAACAATAGACGCCATGAAATGATGGTGATTGATATACCGAGTGAGACCAATTCTTCATCTTTGTCTCCTTCTGCCAGCAGGTTTGCTGAAGATGAGCTGAAATCACCAATGACCACAAGACTGAGGTCACTGAAGAGGCTTTTAAGCAGAGACAAAAGGTTAGGTCCTTGTAATCCTGGTCCTGGCTCTATAGATGTGGAACAGGCAGGAAGAGGACAGAGCTAGTTATTTGTATGAGAAAATATGTCTGTATATTTCTTCTTCTTCTTCAATAGATCTGCTCACATATATTGAGGCAGCCATTTGCAAAATATAGGATAGACTCAATAGGAAGAAGGACGAACTAATCTCTGAAAGGTGACTGTCCTTGAGAGGTTGGGTTCCTCCGGCTGTTTCCGAGAGACAGCTCTTGTTATAACATGCCATTATCCATCTAATCCATGGCGAAGATAAATTCTCAGATGGTAAATTGTTATGTGAATCATGAATGGTTGGAATTTGGATGCTTGAAAAGTGAATGATAGTAATTTAGTTTCTTCAGTAATTTATCTCTTATACTGGTTAGTCTGTTTCTATTTTCTTACCAAATGATGGATGAGAAATTGCCTAGAATCACCGATACATGTTGCTAGAAGTAGGATTCAATGTATCCAAAGTAATTGTTCTAGTTCAAGTTTTGTAAAATAAAAAGTAAAAAGGAAAAATCAACCTTTGAACCTTTGAGCAGGAGAATCTGTCAGATATACCAAATTAGCTCTCACCCATAAAAGTCGTTAGTGGTATACAGCTGATCATCCCCAATCCCCAGGTTGTGAACAGTGTTTACCAGTTTATCGATCAATTTTTTTCTGTCTGGCTAATTCCCTTATAATTAGGGAATTACGTTCTCATCACATAATGTGAATTGAACTCATATTGGACTCTTCAACTAACCAAATACGATAAAAACTACGCAATTCACCCAAAATATGGATGTAATATGAGATCAAGATATAATAGTAACGACTTACTGTACAAGCTTGCAAATTGGAGGAAGTGTTGAAATTGAAAGCGTGAATGATAAAAGAAAGGGGAGTTTTGGATAAAGACATCGGTCTTTTCTGGAATGAGGCAGAGAAAGGAAGACTCAAGACAGGAGGGGGAAAAAAACATATCTTGGTTCTGGGACATCATTTGATTTTTTTTTTTTTAATTTTTTCCCATACATGAAACTCGAAGAACAAGCGGCACTGTAGAATCTCAAAAGTTTGATTTCGTTTCTTCGTTTGGGGCTGCGTCCTCGATTTTACTAGGGTCACATGTTACCTACCTACAGAATAGAGTAGTATTTCTTTCTATAAACACCAAAACATGGGATCCTATCCTTGGCTTAAATTTTGTTTACAGGATAACTTTTATATAACTATTACATCCATCGTTTGTTCTTATCCTTTTCCCTGAGGACCCCATTCCCAAAAGCCACATGCATCTCTGCATTATTGCCCTCTTAAACTGCACAGAAGAGAAACGATACGAGCAGGGAGTCATGTTGCGGATGGGACCTATATTCGTGTTTCTCGTATCTCTATCCAAGTGTCACACATGCATCTCTGATATTTAAAAAAAAAAGAAAAGAAAAAGGACAAAAGTTAAGTGTATTTATTTATATCCAAGTGTCAAACAGGACGTTAGGCTCCTTATGTTGAAATCTATGTCATTTTCTGGCTGTACTAGTTTCAGATAACATGAGATCAAGATTGAGAGTGCAATCCCAATTCTCGCACATGGGATTTTATGTTGTCTGCTGGTTATTAATTTATAGTTAAGTCTTGCTGCAAGTGGACAATATACTTGAACATCCTTTAGATATCAGATTATATTCATGAGTTGATAACTTTGATGATTCTCCAGGTTACTTTGACATGGTTTAGGGCCTGTTTGGATGACCCAAAATCATGGTTTAGGAAGCAAAACCATGGTTTAGATGGGATGTCACCCAAACAGCATCAATTTTAGAGAAATAATTTAAAACCATGATTTGGGAGCCCAAAATCATGGTTTCAGAAGAAGTGAATTCATTCTGCTTCTAATTCAAATTGAAGAGTATGATTGTTCCTGTCATAGTAGATCTCAACAATAATATGACTTTAACATCCCTCAAATATTTTTTTATAAACATATTTAATCTTATATCTTATAAATATATATACACATATTAATTATTTATTAATTATATTATCTTATGTGTTATTAATTATGTTGGTAAAAAATATATTATTAACAATTTTATTCCTTCAAATTAAAATATATCATAAAATCTATCTTTTATATAATTATTATATTAACTTATGCCTTTTTTAGGAATTTGTATATATAAAAAGTGCTTCTGATGACAACTATCTAAACAATCTCACTTCTCAGAATCACTTTTTTCAAAAAATTTATTTTTCACAAAATCTATTCTCCACGAGTTATTCTCCAAACTATATTTCGGTTTCATCAACAGCCCCTTAATTCGTACTGTCTGTATATGATCTGAGTATCCTATTGGTGTAGGTCATACATAAAAGTGATGAAAGAAATTCATTGCATTATTGGTGGAGGTAACATGTTACTAAGGAACTATTGGCTCCGAGGGAGGTGGCGTGGGAAGGGTGGGAATCAGGAAACTTGGACTGATCTAAAACCTTAACAATGATCACAATCTAGCTTTAGGCTTTAGCTTTTCTCAGAGTTGTTGGGATGAGACAGCGAAAGATTAATAATAAATGACATGTCCCAAGAGAGCAAAGAAAAAGTGACTTAAAATTTTGACCAGAAATAGGACACTCTGCCAATAATGCGGCAGAACAGGACAGGTTTGAAGACGCTGAAGGGCTGTGTTAATGCAGAGCAACTTTTAAATGCAGTGTTAATCATCAGGATTAGTTTGTAAAAACTCATAAAACACAACAAGGAAACACTAATTAATGTTCACAATAAAACGAAAGAGGCAGTTTTCTGAATTGGACCTCATGGGATGCACATATTCAAGTGATCACGTAATTTGTTCTGAACAGCACATGGAGTGCCTTGCCGGTGGATGCACATTCAAGCCAAGCCATCAGAGCTGACCCCAGTATTTCCCTCGACCTCAAGGACGTCAGATTTATGGGACAACATTTAAAATTTTAAATACGCGTATATTATTAACTTCTGCATAATAAAATGTAAACAATTCACATATATATAAATATAGTACTATGTCATAAAATTTATAACAAGTTGAACTACTTCTAACTTGGGATTTAGGAAGTGTATCTAGTTTTAAACCTTATGTAACGCAAAAGAAAGTCGCGTTATTATATTTAATAACTTTATGTCTCGGAGTATTTATTTTTTAAAATAAATATTGATGGTATATTTGTAGTAGAAATTTAATTAAAAAAATCCTAAATAATAATTGTACCAGAAACATGTTAATGCTTGGTTTGAATGATAATCGATGGTGGGTTCCATTTCCACTCCAAGCTTTCTTTTCCTGTCAGCTTTGCACCGCTTAATCATCCAAGGATCGTACTGCCAATTCTTGCTTTCCTTAACCCTTTTCCTATACCCTATATAATACTAGTATATCGACTGCGCCTATGTGAATGTTACTCTGCTCCCTCTGGGCTTGCTTCCTCCTAGAATCAATCAGAGTCAAATGAGAACTCACAAGGCCATGCTGCTCAAAATATACAAAAAGAAAAAGCATGCAGCTACCACTTTCGGTTTCACTGTTAATTGTCTTGGTTTTGGGGGCGAAATAACAGCAAACAGTAATGTCCATAGAAAATATTACATATTTCACGGCACATTCTAAACAGGTCTATAGTCTTATATTTTATGTAAAACAAGGTTGTGAGCACGCGCACAATGGGACAGAATATCTAACAAATTGACCTCGATGACTCGTTAAAAATATTTGTTTTAGATCCCCACAATTCCTTGATTCCATTTTCCTTTGATGGCTCAAAAAAAAAAAACCTTTTTTTAATCTTTTAAATGAGAGCGCAAGGGAAAAATTTTAATAAATGCTCTAGATAAAAGCTGTTTCTCGTAAATAGCAAGAACAGAAGACTCCCAAAATTCTACCATAAAAAGGAGCGGACGGAGTGTATATGTATTTTGGTTGGCAATTATTTCTTACTTCTTACATGACATCTAGTTGCCAACCGACAATACCAGAAGCCAAACCTCAAAATAGAACTCGTTCGTTACTTCTTAGCGCTGAATCCAAATAGGCAACATAGACACAGACGATCGAAATCAGCATATAGATAGAGGACAACCTCCATATCCATAGGTTCCCTATACAAATCATGTTAAGCGTCACAGTGTCTAAGAAGCATATAGGAAACACGTCATCATAGCTGAAGCAGAGGCAATGCCATTACAACTCCAAAGATGGAAAAGAGTAACAACATCATCCATGTTGGGAAAGATTGCTTTTTGTTCATTCTCACATCCTTCATCCCATCTGCTCTTTTCATGTCTTCTCCCTTAGAATCGAAGACCTTCTCCGTTAAGGGCCTCTGACTTTCATCCTGACATGTCTCCGGTGATGCCCTCCTGGAATCAACTTTCTCAGAAAGCTGCTGCTGCTGCAGCAGGTTGTACTTCTCAACATACTCAGGGAACATTTTCCGGAATGTTGCACTGTATGCAAAATTATCAGACCCAAAGAGAACTTAGAGTGTAACTCCAATCACAATGACCTTGCTCTACAATCCTCCTCCAGTCTTTACTTAATACAAGAGCTACTTAATTAATTTAGACAGATTAATAAAGTTAGATAAATTAGTTAATTATAACAAATGTGACCTGATCTCTTTAAAATAATATTGTATAACATTAGGTTATATGTCAATTTATAAGTTAGGTAAATTAGTTTGGAAGGAAAATAATAAATATGAGAAATAAGGTAGATTACTGTCTCCTACATTAAGGACCTGAGGTAGTACTTACTTCTTGCAATTGAAAGCAAGGGAAGTTTTGGCTAGTCGCTGCTTCTCAGCAGTGGTAGTGTCCACACTACCAGTGGTTGGACTGCTGTCCATCTGCAAAATAGTGCGGCATCTTATTGAAAGCTCTCAACAAAGCACAATCTAAATCTAGCACTTAGGCCAAGTGACAATAAAGATAAGAAAAGAGTTATCAAGTCACAAATAATAATAACATATGCAATTTGACTTTCCTATAAACTCACAGAAACATATGAAAGTGAAGTAACTAACGTCAAAAGATACGATTATTTATTTACTTAAAATATGAATAGTCTACCAGATACTTACCATGAATGAAAGGAGTCCTGTAAGTATGCTGCATTCATACATTGGAAACATTAGTGGAAAGCTATAAAGTAATTTTCAACATCATTTTCTTCCAGATGACAATTGCTTCTACAAAGGCATGTAGTAGGATGACAAAAAATATAATAAAATAGTAAATAATTAAGAAAAGACACAAGGTACATAAATCATCTTCAAAACTAGAATCAATCTGACCTTGATACGGACCACATGGGATTCCAGCTTTCAGGATGAACTGCCAAAGCAGAAAAATCAACACAAACATTAAATTAAATTATAAAAGTATGAGCAGCTCATTATGTAACTTGTGATCCAACAGATTAAAAGCACTTACAATCACTCATAGACAAACAAATCTTTTTCTGAGTCATGAACCGGCCATTAGGCGTAATCATACTACATGATAGAAAGTATACATAGCCAATATTATAATTGACCAGATGTATGAGATGAAAATTAAAAAAGGAATAATGCAGCAAGAAGGATCACCTTATTCCAGGTGGTTTATATGGATACTCAGGAGGAAACTTGATTTTTCCATAATAATATCCACCTAAAATATGAAAAACTACACGTCAAGTTTTCAAATTGGAATAATGGCTTATAAGTAGTACTCTTTCCCAATTACAAAGCATAGAAGGATTAAAAAAGAAAGGTGGCAATAATCACAAATTGCAAAATAAACAAACCTGCAAAAGGTGTTCCTTCACTTCCCTCTAACACATAATCTGAGATATTAGCGAATTATAAATCAGAATAAAAAACCACCAACCAAAGAAATTAAAATTAGCTAGCTGATAGGCCAAGAGTACAAGACGCATATAGTGACTAAATCTCCATTCAAAATAACATTTGCAAGGCTGTGGAAGTAAAAACAATCAAGGGAACATAAATTATTACCCATAATACATAAAAAAGCCATTTTCATAAGCTTCTTTCACAAAAAGTGATAAGACATCATTATCCATAGGCAAATATCGCATCAAATTAATATATAAATATCCATCTAAAATATGTGGAAATAATTTTCTTTTGTGGATAAGAAACTGTAAGATCGCTATTGTGGATTTTAGGTGAGGAAACAAGGAGCAAATAGTTCCCTTCTGTGATGGACACTAAAAAACATCTCAAACAGCAGCCGTACTAATAATTAGGTATAACAACAAAAACATTCTGATTCCAGTTAGTGTAGATAAAACGTTTTGACTCTTAGTAGTAGTGTTGCAGAGTATATTCAAGCAAGAAATGGAAGATGGTGAGGAAGAATGCCCTTCTCTGATACAACATAAGTAAAAAGTACTTACGCCACTCAAGAATATCATTCGGTGAAGGGCGGGCAACAACATGGGATACCGGCTCCTGCAAATTCATAATAAAAGTTATTGCCGAGTTAGTACATAGCTTATATAATTTATATTTGGAAAACTTAATTTAATATCAGTTTATTGATTTATTCATATGGGACTGAGAGTCAATAATATAGCATAGACTGGTAGAATAGAAGATGCAAAAATAATCACTAAATACAGACACATTGCATAAACATCAGAATTGTATAAATGAAAAATATACAGGATGATATCTTCCCTTTTTCTTGTGCTGTATATATCCACGCAGCCACAATATCAACATAACATTTGGACCCACAAAGACACAGACAAATAGAGAGAGAGAGGGTCGTACAACAACAGAACTGTGAATAATATAAAATGAAAAAGCAATAGATTGGAAGAAAGCAAGATGATGTACTTTGCATAGGGCTCTATATTCTTTTTGAAGGCGCTTGATACAAGACTTCTCCGCCATCCAACAAACTTCAGTCAGTAGCAAGAGCAAGGCCCTACACTGCAGTTTTTTTTTTTTCAATTCCTGAAGGTAACCTGTGCTTCCTGCTATCAATTTATTGCGGACATGAATGTCAATGAAAGGGTTGCAGATAATAGGGGGAAAAACCACAAGCAACCTAATGTAATGTAACAGAGCTCAAAAGGCAACCAAAAAACAGTTCCTGGGAAAAGAGATGAGAAAGTTATGCCTAACATTAATAGTGGTGGAAACACACGCACTAATCATCCATAGGTGATAACTATTTACATAGGTGAGTAAAAATAAATGAATCCATAGAAAAACACCAAACAAACCAATTCAGCCAGAGACATGTAATTGTGTAGATAATATGTCTTGCTCTGTGATAATAGAGTTGGTGGAAATTGAAGGAGATTTACCACCAAAATTCCCTCCAAATATTAAAGGTAAAGCCATAGCAGACTATTCCTGTAACTATATAACTAACTCTTCCAGAAGCTTCAGTTGTCAGAACAAGGCCCAAAGACAGTATTCATTAATATCTCTAACAACCTCTTATGGAAAAGACCTCTGGGCTCATAAGTCATAACCGCTACGTCAAAAAAGCCCGGCACTGTGTCATCAAGTCAAAAGCTTGATTTTACCAGCAAGCAAAGAGCAATCCAAGCTCTAAAGTCATTCATTTCTCAAATTACATATGTTTACAGCTGCTTGAAGTTTATACACTGTATTGTTTAGCATAAAAACATTTCTGTTCATATTCACTGTCTGCCAAATAAATAGAGATAAGTATGTTGTTCACACTCCTACGTTTTACCCTATTATCTTAGCTCACTTGTTTTGCTTTACATCTTCAACGGCCTGTTGCTGAAGTAAGTATAAACAAAATCCTGATCCCCAGGGGAAAAAAAGGGAAAAGATAAACTTGGGATTGGGGGAAGGGAGGCAGTAACTCGATTCGATTCAGTACATAATGGCTTTCCCAGTGTTTTTCAAATATTCAACGTAACTTCTACATCGACTAAGCACAAAAAATTATTAACGATAAGCCATGATCAGACTCTAACGCGGACAAAATAAAATTCGAAACAATCCAGGATAACATAAAATCCAGTTACACCACATGAAAATCTCAAACACAACTAATCCAGCGATCATGAGAAAGAAACCCGCGTGCCTGGAGAAAAGATTAGCAATTTTTGTCACTACCCACGAGAGAAGAGAATCTACCTGGGATCTACTCTCCTTCAAAGTGAACCTGAAATCTAAAACAGTAAAAACAATATCTGCAATCCAAGAATTGATTTTTAGCGTTCCGAAGGTAAGAGCACCGAAATTTGGTGGGAGTGGTACTGGGAAGTGGGAAGTGGGGACACTTCAAAACGGTGGCGTTGAAAATTGCAAAAGCGAGCGAAAGTAAAGCACGGTTTCCATCAACGAATCGCGAGCTTTTGGTCCAAGTGTTGTTGTGAGTTCCGGCTTATAAATTTCCCGACCCAGGAAGCATTGTGTACTCCTCTCATCTCATGCTATGACTCGGGCCCAAGAAATGTTTTATGACTATTTTAGGCTTTTAGCCCTACTCTTTGACATCATTTTCTTCGTGCATGACGCAATTAATTTATTTTTCTCCTCTTGTTTAATAAGATTCGTTTGGTACGAAGGAAAAAAAGAGAGAGAGAAAAGAAATTTTTTTACTAAGTTTAATTTAAAAAATTAGAAAAATGTGGTTAAGAACTTTAAGTTAATTTTGCTTGTTATTTTATCTTATATCTTCTTTTTATCAAAATTTTATAATCTATTTTTATAAGTTTTTAAATCAAGCTTATTAAAAAAAATTTTGTCTCTTTTTCCCTTTGATTCTCTCATGCCAAACATAGGGTTAAAGTCTGTTCCGTATAAGGAAAATAGAAAGAACGAGACGAGATGAAAAATTTTAATAAACTCAATTTAAAAAAATTAAAAAAGTGAAGTTAAAAGTTTTTAATTAATTTTAGTACTCTTTTATATTATTTATTCTCTTCATTAAAATTTTAAAACCCTACTTCTTTAATTTTTTAAATAGAACTCATTAAAATTTTCTTTTTCCTTCCTCTCCTCCATTTCTCTCATACGAAGCAGAACCTAAGGTTTTTTTATATAAAAAAAATCTAAACATTAATATATCAACATAATATAGTATTACCAATAGATTCATAGCAAATTTTACGTACTGTGCTAAAAATTATGTCTAATTTTAAAAACATGACAAAATTATTCCCATAAATAAAGTTTGTATGTTTGTTTGGATGAACTTAATTTAAGTAATTATGTGCCGAAATATAAAACTCCCATGAGAACAAAGGAACATATAAAAATATTAATACTCCTCTGATTCTAAATATAAGACCCATTTTATAATATAAATTATGTTACAAAATGGATATTTAGGACCGGAGAGTATAAAATTAGGGTTTGAATACAACTCAAACTTTTATAATTATAAGTTAATTTTTTACATTCACAAATTGAAGGTCCTTAATTTATATTAATCTTCTTATAAATTATAAATATCTTTAATTATTATTTTTCCATATTTCACTCTCGCTTTATATTTTATTTTTTAGTTATTATTATCATAGTGGTCCTTTTACGTCATTCCCGTGAATTAATGGACAGGCACAGCTCACAGTTACTCGGTTTCCACAAGTAATTGTTAATTTCATTAACTTGCTTTCTTACCAAGGAACTCGGCAATAGTATTTATTACTATTAATAATATAATGCGTAGTGGCTTTTATCATCGACTGGATTTTTTAATACTCTCTTCTTCTTTGTTTGCCATTGAATTTGTTTGATACAATATAATGGAGACTCTTTTTTTTCCCTGAAATCGTATAATGGAGACTACATGGCTTTTAGAATATTATTAAATAGTAATTTTTAAAAAATTAGAAATGAATATGAATCTGTAAGCATTATGTTCACCAAGGGGGAAAAAAAATATAAAGCCTAAATTCTCTTGAAACTTCCGAGCCTTATAGGTGGGTCTTTCATCTTTGGGACGTTGACATGTATCCAATAACAAATCCTTAACAGGGGAACCTGTGATCTACCATCCTTTAACGTTTTCGATGGTTAGGACTTCTGAGATTAAATGCAGCGTCCATTTTCATGAACCAACGGCCACATCTGTCCAATGAAAGGACCTTCTCTAATGTTCCAGAAGTTTCTAAGCATGAACATGTGATAAAGATCTAATTTTCTTACAGAGTGTGCACGACGTCATCAATTCAAAGCCACTCCCCATCTAAAGTATAAGCATACTCGTTTCTTTTATTAATATGAACCAATGGTCTTAAACTTTAAACAAGCAAGCAAGCTTCCAAGTAAGTTCTTGCAGAACAAGAATCCACGTTCTGTGAAAAAAGAGAATCTGACAATATGCTTGGATCGATTAACAGTGCCAGCTTCTCCTTCCACTCTGTTCATCCTAACGTGTTTCACTGAGTCTGTGTCTGTTACTTAAAGTAACATTTACCAGTGACAAAGAAGGAAACAGTTCAAGATTCAGTTCTAGTTTTCTATATGTGAATGGGATTCATCAGTTTCTTGATGTCAGTGCATAACTTCGCATTTAATATTAATTAGCCTTTGCTTTCTCCAAGAAAGTTAAGAGATATTCTAAATGTCATGAACTGATCACGTGCCTCATCATGATTTTTCTGAAGTTTCTGTCACTTCTTTTTCACCAAATCCTAAGAACAGACAAGGCAGTGCAAGATGCATCAGACAAAAAAAGTTCCACATGACCCTCCCACTATCATATCAGACCCACATTAGATATTTACCATTTGAGTCTGTACTGAACAATAAATTAGATTAGTTCACTTGATCCTAAGGACTTAGACTCAACCAAGATCCTCCATTGCCATGAAGAAGACCTGCTCTCTACTGGCTTTTCTTACTCTTGCACTATTGTTCTTTTCAGCTTGGTCCATCAGGGACAACCCAGAAGTTCGTTCTTTGCCCTTAAGCAAGGCTTCATCTTCTGAGGCACATAATAGGATTCCTATGAAGCAGTTGGACTCATCTTTCAGAAGAATACCTCCAAGCACCTCAAATCCTACACAGAATCAGTAAGCTCTATTTACTTTTAACAGTTTCAAGCCTTTTCCTGGTTTGCAGCTAGTGATTGACAGAGAATTTCATGTTTCTTTTGCAGGTTCAATCCTCCCACAGATGGATGAAAGAACAGAAATTGCCTTTTCATTTCTTTCATATCTTTGTAACAGAAGAGCTGTTGAGTGTACACTGGTGTTTCAAATTCCAGCATCTAGCTACGGTTATGTGTACTGCAATTTTGATTGGATTTCCAGTTTTGCTGACTTAGCTTGTTAAATCATCTGATGTACTTAAATATGTAAGAATCCAATACTGATCGCTTGAGATGTAGCAAAGTTACAAACGTTTATCAAAATCCAGATCATGATAGTTACATCTGTCCAAATATTTCATCCTTTTCTTTCTGCAAAAAGAGGTGGTTGCTTGAAGATCCTCTATATGTTTTCCAGAAAATACCTTCCTCACTCTGTAATCAACCTTTCTCAATACAAAATCTATGCAGTTTAATCGATTCAACGAAATTATAAGCATTGAGAATCTCATCCAAACCTGCAAAGTTAAAACCTTTGGAATCCTCCTGCAGTAGCTTCATTGTTCAATTTCTCAAACCCACCTTTTATCATTCTTCTTGATATATAGGCATTTCTTCATCCTATGAGACTTGTTATCATCTCCTTTACTCAGTATTTTTGCCTTTACAAATCTGCGTGGATGCTTTTCTGGGAAGCATAATTGGTTTAAGTTGTGATCAAATGTACTTTTTTCAAGCCTTAACGAGCTAGAAGGTTAGGAAGATTGGCCAGAGCACAAAAGAAGGACAAGTTTAGGAATGACAGTTTGCTCACATGACTGCATTATGGTAACTCTGCCTTGCGATATAAATATTTGAAAATACAGAGCAGTTGATTCAGAGCCAAAGGGTACGACCTGTAATTAATAAACCCTAAACCAAAAAAAAATTAATCTGGTCTCTGCGTGATTTAAGAAAGAATCTGACTTTATTGTAGTGTTTTTGTTTGCCAGACCCAATTTTAGGCTACAGATTCAGAATCCAATCTCCATGAACAACGTACATCTCCAGATTAGTCAGTAAAAGGGGGCTTCTTTAACTTCCATACTGTATGGCTCATTTGCATCCAGTGTCACTCAGAATCTCGATGGTTCTCACACAAAATATATTATGCTCAGGAAAAAATGCTGAAAATTTTAAATTGAAATTTAACAAAAATATTAGGAAATGAAATGTGTATTTAAAATGTGTTGATTGAAAAACTACTCTAATATATATATGTAATCGAACCAACATTCTTCAGAGTTCATTTTAAAGAAAAGCTCAGTGATAGCTTCTATATGAACTTATAACTCTTGAACAACAATTAGCTTAAGTGTCAATGGTAAATCAAGCTTCCAACCAAACGCATCCTTGACTAATTTGTTATTTCACATTCATTCACGAATCTTAAGCGAAGGAGTCTTGATTAGTTAAGGAAACTTCTGTTATGTTGTGAGAGAGCAGACAGGAGAAAAGAAAGTTAAAGTAAATATTTTTCATTCAACAGGAAATTGCAAGAAGAAAGGATGTTGTATTCCTTAAACTACAAGCTGCTATATCCTCCTTATCTTACTATTTTTTTTAACCATTATTAGCATATGCTAACCATACATAATATAAGAGCTAATTAGAAATTAAATTTAGTTTTAAATATAATATCTCAATCCACCATGCCTCTTATCTTTTTTTCAAAATATCCTTATTAATTGCTAGAAATTTCATCATTCAATGCATATGATTGAAAAGAATAATTTAGATATATTAATATATATTTAGATAAGTAATTAATGAACTAATTTTTTGAATATCTTCAGTTGTCTAGCTTTTTTTTTTTTTTAAACCAAGTACCAGGTACTAATTAGCCATTTCTGTTAATTGATATTTGGATGTTGACATATATGACATTTGGATTTGCTTACATATTCCATTTGTACCTGTTTGGCAGGGCGTTTGTGGAGCTTAAAAGGAGCTTATTAGTGTCATAAGCTCGATTTGTAATTTGTCCCTATTTGGATAAGCTTTTAGTTTATTTAGCTTATAAGTCAAAAGCTGGTGAAAAGCATGGATTCCCATTTGGTGCTCATCAGGTGATGAGCAATCTGGACCGTCCAGATTTAATCTAGACAGTCCATATTTAATAATATTAAATAATTATTTAAAATAGAAATTATATTTTTTAAAAAATGATAGTTATGAGATTATCTTTATTTTTTATTCTATACTTATTAAAATAATTATTTTAAAAAATAAATCTAGATGGTCCAGATCTGATCTGGACGGTCCAGATGGGTGATGAGCATACCTGATGAGCACCCAATGCAAATCCGAAAAACATAAGCAGGAAAGAAAAGCTTATAACTTATGGAATCGTGTGTTTGCTTTAGTAAAAGGTTCTGGAAACATTTATTGCAAATTCAATACCAAATCTGCCTTTTGGCTCTTCTCCCTCATACGTTGATTTTGTGCATTTTCAAATTTTTTAATATAACACAATTTTCTAAAAAGTTATCATATGATAAATAACTTTTTTTATTAACAGTTTTTTTAATATTTTACCATATGTAAATGTAATATACACACACATATGTGAATATATGTATTACTCCCTCCTATTCATATTATAAATTAATTTAAATTTATTGTATTATGAAAAATTATTTTTTAATCATGTTTTATTATTTATTAAAACTCATACCCATTTTGTTCATCTTACAACCAAACTTACTTTTACCTAATCATAATCCAAACAACCTTTTATCAATCTTACTTTTACAAACTAACTTTTCTAAACTCTAATCCAAATACAATTCAGCTTATCCAATTCAATTTTTACCCAACTTCACTTTTTCATAAATCAAACTCATAATAAGTTATTTTTCCATCGCTATTCCAAACGGACCTTAGTTTTCTTCTGATCTCCCACTAGCTTCTTGCTCTCTCCCAAAAAGTCAAACCATTCATGACCAAGCTGAAACAAGTTTTCACCGGAATATCCCATTATTCCGCCAAGAGCAGTCCCATGTCCGAGAAGAACAACAAGCTCTTCTACTTGGCTTTCTTCACTTTTCTGCTTCTCGACTCCATTTTTACTGTAAAAGTCTCTTGTAGTTCCACATTGTACCCGGAACTTAATTTGCTTCTCCGCCATCGTTGCAGAACCCAGTTTCACCAGTAAAGTCTCCGCAAACAAAGACATTATAGAACTGTCCCTTAACATAACAATCACAGAGAGTTGCAGAATAACTCCGCGTCCATCAAGAATCTCCAAACCAAAGCAGACCTCACAAAGAGAGCGAAAAACGTTCTCGAAGGCTGTTTGCAAATCATTGACCACACTCTTTAGTTACGTTCTTCGCGGGTCCGTCTAGTATCTCAACGACTCAACTCATGACGCCAACGACCTCAAGATTCTCGTCAGCGGCGCCGTAACCGACCATGAGACTTGCCTGGATGGTTTCTCCCATGAACGTTGAACGAATGTCCAGCAAGACTCTGGCAATGATCGTGAACTTGAACTTAGTAAATTGAACTTCATTCATTAAGCCGTCCTGCTTGTGACTTTAGCCTTAGCTGTAAAATACTTGTCATATCAAAGAGCTAATTTTGTCGCAGTAAGGTTAGCGTCCTTTGATAACAAGTGTTAGCTTTATGGGGATAGAGTTAATGCTTACAAACTTTTGTGACTCCTTTTTCTTAGCGCTCAATCAGTTAAAGATTTTTGGAGCGCTAACAAGGTCCCTCTCCCTTTTTTTTGGGGGGATAAACGCACTATATATCATAGAAAAAACCGAAAAACAAACAAAATTTCAAACCTTCATTAGTGTCCGTCCGATAGGCGGAGCGTGATCAACAAAGATACAAAAAGAGTTTTCCATAGCATGAGTTATCTTAGCCAAGGGGTCAGCAGCATAAACAAGATCCTCTCTTGGCCTGTAGGTCCCGTTTGATAAGAATAAAATGCAATCTGGAGTGGCCAAATTAATTGTTTCTATTAAGACACTACCGAACACTAAATGTAAATATTTTTTCTATCAGAGATTTAAATCTTCATTTTTTGTGTTATGAAGGATTTGCTTTTTACGTTAGACTCAACCACAATTAGTAAGGCGTGTGTGTATGATCATACGGATCCAATTTTAGGCCTATCATTTGGCAAATGTTCGTCTATGACCAACCTAGCCCAACCAAATGTCTAGTTGGGTTGGGCCACACTTAATTCGCGCCGACCCTCGTAGTTGGCAAAACATTAGCAAATTAAGGATCAAATCTTTATTAGCATAGGTGTTTGTTCGTATTTAGTATTTGAAAATGCCTTAAATAGGATAATCTACAATAAAATAATACTTATGTATACCAAAAAAACATTTCTCTTTGTATTCCATTAAAAAAAAAGGCATTTGTCTTCTTATAAAATAAATAAGTGAATAAATAACCTTTCTCCCTCACACAGACTACTTCTTGCATCCTTTGATAAATTGATTTGTCGGACTGAAGACCCAACAAAAGTAGTTGACTTTTATCGGTTTATGGCCTTTGGGTACATTTGACCTAGTCAATTACACAAATTTTTTTTCAAGCCCTATCAACCTTTATCGTTTCACCGCTTCCTCCTTATCTCATTCAGCGTGTGTGTATATATATAGAGAGAGAATATATCTATTTTAATTTTACTATTAATATTTTCATTAAATTAAAAATTAGAATTCACCAAATTTAAACAAAAACATAAATCGTAAATTTAGTATGCTCCAACTTAAAGCGACCGACACTTCCGAGTTAGCTCTCCGTGAATGTTTTTGCTATATTAAGTCCTTTCATCATCTACTCTCTGAAGTCTGAACTGGCCACATCGACCCCCTCAGTGACCGAGTCTCTATCTGGTCCAACTCTCAAAATAACCAACTATGACCAAAACGGAACAAGTATACTCCGCCGGAATATCCATTCCCGGCAACCGTATTCCCATGTCCAATAAGAACAAGAAGCTCTTCTTCTTCACTCTTGTCACTACTCTGCTCCTCGTCTCCGCCATCGTCGGCATTGTTGTCGTAGTTAACTCCCGAAAAAACTCCGGCGACGGCCTCCACAATGTCCATTCGAGTATGGCACACGCCATCGTCAAAAGCGCGTGTAGCTCCACCATGTACCCTGAACTCTGCTTCTCCGCCGTCGTTGCTGAACCCGGCTTCGCCCAGAAAGTCTCCACCCAGAAAGACGTCGTAGAACTGTCTCTCAACATAACCATCAGAGCCGTAGAACACAACTATTTCACTGTCAAGAAGCTCCAAACCAGAAAAGGCCTGACGAAGAGAGAGAAAACTGCTCTTCATGATTGCTTGGAAACAATTGACAGTACCCTGGACGAGCTTCGCCGGGCCATCACCGATCTCGAAGGCTCCGCTCATCACGCCGACGACCTCAAGACTCTCATCAGCGCCGCCATAACTAACCAAGAGACCTGCTTGGACGGGTTCTCCCACGACGGCGCTGATAAACAGGTGAGGGAAGGGCTGATGGACGGGCAACTTCACGTGGAACGCATGTGCAGCAACGCACTGGCTATGATCAAGAACATGACGGACGGTGAAAGGTCTGCTAGTAATAGAAAACTGACAGAAGTGGATGAAGTAGCCGACGGGATTAAGTGGCCGGAGTGGATGTCGGGAGGAGACAGGAAGCTTCTGCAGGCGCAGACGGTGAATCCAAATGTGGTGGTGGCAGCAGACGGGAGTGGGAATTACAGGACGGTGTCGGAGGCAGTAGCGGCGGCGCCGGAGGGGAGCACGACGAGGTATGTGATAAGAATAAAAGCAGGAGTGTACAGAGAGAACGTGGAGGTGCCGAAGAAGAAGACAAACTTAATGTTTGTGGGAGATGGAAGAACCAGCACGATCATTACCGGCAACAGAAACGTCGCTGATGGAAGCACAACCTTTCACTCTGCCACTGTAGGTAACTATGTCGATCATGCTTTTCCCTGCAAAAATATTCTATACTGATCATAATTAACAATTCTGATGATGAGGAAAAGGCATAAAACAAAAAAAACATGGGCAGATTAAGGATGTTTCAGTTCTTTTTTAATTAAAGAGGAGGCGCTAACTCTCTAATATTAGAAAAGAAATCACATTTTCCAGCTCTTATTTACGAGGAGGGAGTATTTTGCCACTAGACTAGAAGACCTATGGAAGATGTTCTACTTTAATTAGTATCATCATACTGAAAATTGCAAGTGCTGACCTAAAAATTAATTCCCACCCCCCTTATTCTTAATAAAAGAGTTATTTTTTATTTTGATAGATTGACAAAGTTAAATAGACTAATTAATTAATTATAATAAACGTGACATGATTTTTTTCAAAACATCTTTCTATAATATTAATTAGGTTATATATCAGTTTATTAGTTATGTAGGCAAAGTGGACGAAGGTATTAAATTCAACTCTCAATTAATTAATTCTTATGTTAAGAACTAGGGGAGAAATTTGATTAAGACATTTTATACCTTTTTATTTTTTTATGTAATTGATAATTTATACCAACCATGCACATAGACTTATGTGATTCTAGGTGCACTCAATTTTATTTTAAATATGCATGTAGGGAAATTATAAGTGGATAACCTTTACACCAAGCAGCCAAGCTGATACATGAAAATAAATATCTATAGTATTTTTTTGCCCGAGAAATATATTTAGTCATATCATCAAACACAATCTTGTTCAATTCGCTGGCTTCATAAATGGGTTATGCTTTTGGATATTAGGATGAATTATCCGTATCCCTGAAAAATGGACCAGAAGAGGCCCCAGGCATTAAATCATTGCAGGGAAAAAATCGAGGACAGCTCATATATAGAGTAGTCTTTGTCTGACTTTAAGTCCTCAACTTCATTTTCAAACCACCATTTTCACTACAATTATAAGGCAGCATTTTCTCATTTCTCTGGGTCTTGATTATTAAAGTTTTTTTGATCTATTTTATAGTATGATGATAATATCGTAACTTTATATAATAAAATAAGTATACTCATATGCGCCCACCAAAAGTTATCCTGTTCTAAGACATTTTAAAAAAATTCCTGGACAAAACATCTTTCGTTTTATATATATATCGAAATTCCATCATAAATGCCATCCCACAATGTTGGTTTATTTTTACCCAAAATAATTCCCACTCGATGTTTAGTTTAAGTACCATACCATGCACTGACCAATGACTGGTATATCCAAGTTGATTAGGAGTATCTTGATCACCAAAATTGTTTGCCTTACATATACTCCTTGATCCTAAATATAAACTCATTTTATAGTGTAATTTATATTACAAAATGAGTACTATATTTAGGATCGGAGGAGTATAATACTACATATGGTTCTTAATATAAGAGCTAGTTTACCTTTCAATTTGGTCTTAAATATAAAATCTCAATCCACTTTGTTTCTTATATTTATTCATTTTTTCTAAGGTGGTCCTTATAATAATTACATATGTTACAAGTTTCATCACATGATAGTTCTAGTTAATATACATGTTAGTAAATGTAGTTTAGGGAATAAACCACCTATTTATTAGAGATAACTAACTTAACTAATTTTCTTAATATACTCAAATTAGTCAACTAGTTTTTATATTAAGAATCAAAACTAGTAATTATGATGAAAAGCTTGGTTAGTTGAAAGAAATTTTCTTTTTAATTATTCTAATTTCAAAATCAAAGTTTGTTTAGGGTATGTTTATACGAAAAAGTTATTCCCTATGATTTGATTAAAATAAAAGTAGCATATATTTGTACGAAGAAAAATGAGAAAATCGGTAGAAAAATCCTGCTTAAAAATCTTATTGGTCAAAAGAACCTAAATTCAACTACCGATATTCTATACGTATGAAATTTGGTAAAGTACCAACACTTTATGCGTATAAAAACATATTAAGTTCTTGTAGCTTATAAAATTTTCAAACAAAAACTTTTAACCAATTTTTTTAAAAACAATAAAATTTTCCAAGTTAATTATAAATGAGGCTTTATTTTAATTTATATTTTCTTCTAGTTTGATTAAGTTTCATTTTCTGGGTTAGACTTTTCCATCTTATTCTTCACTGAATGTTAAATAGTCTGCAAGTTGACTGTTAGATTCATTACTACCTACCTGGCACTGATGACTGTATTCTGTATTGACCGGTAAGAGTACAGCATAAGAACCCCACTTCCAATTAAAACCAGACATGAGCATGTCGGGCTTCTTAATTTTTGTGCCCCCTCACAAACCAACATTTTCTCTCAAGCTTACTTCTCTGGTCTTATTTATAAAACATTTTTAATATATTTCACACAAACTAAGAAAAATCTTAAATTTTATTAAGTTCATTTAAAATTTAATAACTTTTCAACTTTATTCCTATTTAATATACATTATACCTCATATAAACAAAGTCAACACAATAATAAATGAGGAGTAAAATTATACATCTATACAAAAAATTTCTCTCAGTGCCTTATAAATAGGACCAAAAAATATCTTCTTCTATCCTGTAAATAGGACCAGAGCAGTATTTTACAAAAAAAATTCATATTATCTACTATAATATTAAATTAGTCACCTCATGCTTTCGTTTCTTGTCTTCAGATTGTTTTTCTTTGTTAGACCATACTTTTTCTTTTTTAATCATAAGCAGAGAATTTATCCAAAGCATTTGCTTGGATTCAACTCACAAGAGCTCATTTATGTGCTTAATATAAGATTTATTCTGCCTTTCGATTTTTTTTGCCCCCCAACATCGACCTTAAACCGCCTCATTCCGAATACTAAAAATGTTTAGTTCGTTTTTTCTAATGGGGCCAGAACTAAAAAATGTTTACTTCAATGAAACATTTGGGTTATCTTCTCTTTTTCCTTTTTATTTGTCCATTTTAAGCATGTTCTTCAAGCAATTGTAAATCAATACACATTTTCTAATACCATCTTCGGTCCTTCATATAAAACTTTTATTTTGACCCTAAATATAAGACTCTATCCACTTTATTTCAAATATTTATATATATTTTTTCAAGATAATCCTTCTAATAATTGTAATTTTAACCAATATACTTAATTAATAAAGATATTTTAGGAAAGACAACACCTATTATTTATTACAAATAACTAATTTAACTTATTTTTTTAATCTTCTCAAATTAATCAACTAACTCTTATAATTAGGATCGGAGGGAGTATTAGAAGTCACGCATAACCGATTGAATCTATAAGTTAAGCTTTTGTCGCATATACATTAGACAAAAAAAAAAATTAATTCCTACGCTGACCAAAACTGTGCTCCGTTTTGCAGCCGTTGTAGGAGAACGATTCTTGGCTCGAGACATAACCTTCCAAAACACGGCCGGTCCGTCCAAGCACCAAGCGGTGGCTCTCCGGGTGGGCGCCGACCTCTCCGCCTTCTACCGCTGCGACGTGCTCGCCTATCAGGACTCCCTCTACGTCCACAGCAATCGCCAGTTCTTCGTAAGTTGCCTAATAGCAGGCACCGTCGACTTCATCTTCGGGAACTCCGCCGTGGTCTTACAAAACTGCGACATCCACGCCCGCCGCCCCAACCCCGGCCAGAAAAACATGGTCACTGCACAAGGCAGAGTCGACCCTAACCAGAACACCGGCATCGTCATCCAAAACTGCAGAATCGGAGCCACCCAGGTTCGAATGTATAAATTAAAGTTTCCGAATAAAAACAATCACGCCATCTTATTACTATAGATGATTATAATTGGTATTTTGTTATGAAATGCAGGATCTGTTGGCAGCGAAGGGAAGCGTTGAGACGTACCTGGGGAGGCCATGGAAGGAGTATTCGAGGACAGTGATAATGAAGAGTGAAATAAGCGACGTGATACAGCCAAGCGGGTGGTTCCCTTGGGAAGGGAATTTCGCATTGAACACTTTGTTCTATGGTGAGTATCAGAACACGGGACCTGGAGCTGTGACTTCTGCAAGAGTTAACTGGAGAGGATTTAGGGTTATCACTAGTGCCACTGAAGCTCAGAGTTTTACTCCTGGAAGTTTCATTGCTGGCTCAAGCTGGTTGCGTTCTACCGGCTTTCCATTTACACTCGGGCTGTGATTTCGTTTTGGAAGATTCATTGATGAGTCTGGCCGTTTGTGTGTGGCTTTGTACGTATTATAATTTTTGAAGTTGATCAATTTGAACTCTTCATGCAAGACACTAAACAGTGAATTAATAAGGCTGTAACATCTTGCCAGGCCATCCCAGACCCAGCTGATGAATATGGCATAAATTCAATGCTGTGTTTTGGAGATTGTCTTAGCATTTGAATTTGAATGTGGAAATTTAAAAGGTGAAAAAGGCGAAGCACGTGGTTATGAATGAAAGAATCAAGCTAGCGTACGTAATGGAAGGAAGGGCCAAAGCAATAAACGCCAGCGTTTTGGGTGATTGCGGAGGCCACGTGTTTTTTTAATTGAATAATAACTATATCGTGTTATTTGTGACACCTATGCACCGACAATAGGAATCAGTTTTAATGCTAATTATCTTTGATAATAACCATAAACTCATCAGATTTAGGTTATTTATATTTAATTCGAACATCCAGATTTAAAATTTTTCATTAATTATTTTTAAATAAAAAACTATTTTTAAAAAAATGATAGTTAAGAGATCATTTTTATTTTAGATTTTATACATATTAAAACAATTATTTTAAACAAATAAAAATAAAAAATAAAATTCAAACTATCTAAATAAAATATGAATAATCAAGATATCGTAAACTTAAATTGCCCGTCAAAGTGATGGTTCTCCCACAACAGCTAAAAAAAAACACAAACTGAGCGGACTTCGATTTTCAGCTCTATATATCCTTTCGCCGTTCTTTTCTATTTGCAAACATTCTTCTTCTCTCTGCTCCCTCTCTCTCTCTCCTCACTCGATCTCTGAAACTGGACCATGCCCAGTTCCGGCGACGCCATTCCCATGTCCAAGAAGAAGAAGAAGCTCTTATTCTTCGCCTTCCTTACTACCCTGCTCCTCGTCTCGGCCACTGTCGGCATTGTCGCCGGAGTTAACTCCCGCAATAACTCCGACGCTGACATCGACAACATCCATTTCACCCCGTCACACCACATAGTCAAAACTGCTTGCAGTTCCACGTTGTACCCTGAACTCTGCTTCTCCGCCATCACCGCCGAACCCGGCTTCACCGAGAAAGTCTCCACTCACAGAGACGTTATAGAACTGTCCCTCAACGTAACAGTCAGATCCGTAAAGCAGAATAAGTTCATCGTCAAGAAAATCCAAGCCAAGAAAGGCCTGTCCAAGAGACAGAAAGTGGCTCTTCGTGATTGCTTGGAAACCATTCAAGACACCCTGTTCGAACTCGGTCGTGTCATCGCCGACCTGAAGAACTCCGCTAATCGCGCCGACGACATCAAAACTTTTCTTAGCACTGCCATCACCAACCAGGAAACCTGCCTGGACGGGTTCTCCTTCAACAACGCCGATAGACGAGTGAGAAAAGGGCTGAGCTCCGGGCAAGTCCACGTGGAACGCTTGTGCAGCAATGCGCTGGCGATGTTTAAGAACATGACTGGCCATGAAATGCCAAGTCGCAGCAACAGAAAATTGATGGAACTGGAGGAGGTGGATGGTGGTACGTGGCCGGCATGGATGACGGCCGAGGACAGGCGGCTTCTGCAGTCGGGGACGGAGACTGCAAACGTGGTGGTGGCTGCAGATGGGAGTGGCAATTACAGGACGGTGTCGGAGGCGGTTGCAGCGGCGCCGGCGAGGAGTAGCACGAGGTATGTGATAAGAATAAAAGCGGGGGTGTATAGAGAGAACGTGGAGGTGCCGAGCTCGAAGACGAATATAATGTTTGTGGGAGATAGCAGAACCAACACTATCATCACAGGAAGCAGAAATGTGGTGGATGGAAGCACAACCTTTAACTCTGCAACTGTGGGTAAGTACTTCATTTCTCTAGAAGTTTTTAATACTACCTCCGATCCTAATTATAAGAGTCAGTTGACTAATTTGAGAAGATTAAAAAAGTAAGTTAAGTTAGTTATTTGTCCTAAATAAGTAGTGTCTATCAACCGCACTCAGATCTTTTAATTCAAGTGAAACCAAGACACAAAATATAAAATTTAATTATATACTGCTTCATATCCTTGATATAAAAACTAGATAATTAATTTACAAAAATTCAAAAAATTAGTTAAGTTAATTAAAATAAATGAGTGTTGTTTTTGTTTTTTCCTAAAATACTCTTATAAATCATATGTATTAGAGCTACCTTTTGCTAGAAACTTTTTAACAAATGTCATCATTATATAGATTACTTGGGAAAAATGAATAAGAGATAAAATGAATTAGAATCTTAATTATATTTATTATTCAATTAAATTTTTTAACTAGTTCTTATATTAAAGAGAAGGGATAGTATAACCTTAATGCGAAAGAAGGTAGTATAACCTTAATGCCAGAAGTTGCATTGTTAGCTTATTGATTTTTTTCGTTTTTTTTTTTCACGAGTCCTAGGTGTAAACAATCATGTTTGACATATATTCACACTAGTTATACTTATAATTATAAGTTCACTATTTTCAAACCAATTTTTTTATGTGTAATTAATTTTCTTATAAGCTCTCTTGCTAAGAGAGCTCTTAGTAGCCCTCCTAGTCTCCAAGTCTTAGGACCTTCTTCCTACTGAGTTTTCTTCTCATAGATAGATAGTCCCCTTTGTTTTCCGACTCATCGAAAAAAAATTCCTTATAAGGCCTCAATATGTCGTTTTTCATTTTTTTATGTGACATTTTTTCTTGTTTGTAAATGTTACTAATGTAAGAGAGATTTCTTCAACCATGTAAACTAGTCATACTTATAATGTGTCTATATATATACTCTCCTCGGTCTTAAATATAAAATTAATTTTGTAATGTAAATTATATTATAAAATAGATTTAATATTTAGAATGAGAAGAGCACATATTTTTTTGGAGATGAATTGATCAATCATCCATGTCCCAAGAAAATTGGACCACCAGCAATAAAACAAGCAACTCACAGCTCATAGTCTCGTACAGGCACATTTTTCCTCAGCCCAATCACGTTTTGCATTTCCGAGTCAGCGACGAAGATAAGTTCATGTCTAGATGTTTGCCACGTGTCAGGATACGTCTTATCCATTAGTTTCAATTTCAATTATATCCTGCTCCTACCCAAATAATCAAAGAAGCCCCTTTACGTAATTTTCGCTTTTGTAATACGTTTCTTTGAGCTTGTGGTGCAGCTGCAGTAGGAGACGGCTTCATGGCTCGAGAAATAACCTTCCAAAACTCAGCGGGGCCATCAAAGGGCCAAGCCGTGGCTCTACGAGCCGGAGCCGATCTCTCCGCTTTCTACAGATGCGCCTTCCTAGCTTACCAGGACACCCTCTACGTCCACAGCAACCGCCAGTTCTTCACTGACTGCCTCGTTGTCGGCACCGTCGACTTCATCTTCGGCAACTCCGCCGCCGTCTTACAGAACTGCGACATCCGCCCTCGTCTCCCCCTCCGCGGCCAGAGCAACATGGTCACCGCCCAAGGAAGATCCGATCCTAACCAGAACACCGGCATCGTCATCCAAAACTCCAAGATCACCGCCAACTCGGTACACACGCACCCAAACACTTATATCCGTCTCTGTTCATGCATGGCTCTTTTAATGAAATGATAAAATATTATAATTGCGTGCAGGATCTGGAGGCACAGAAGGGAAGTGTGAGATCGTACCTTGGGAGGCCATGGAGGGAATATTCGAGGACTGTGATAATGAAGACTTACATAGACGATGTGATAGACCCGGAAGGGTGGCACCGTTGGGATGGGGACTTTGCGTTGGACACTTTGTTCTACGGCGAGTATCAGAACACCGGAAGTGGTGCTGATACGTCTAGGAGGGTTAACTGGAAAGGCTTTAACGTTATTACTAGTGCTTCTGAAGCTCAAACTTTTACTGCTCAAAACTTCATTGAAGGCTCAGGCTGGTTATCCTCCACTGGCTTTCCATATACTCTTGGCCTATAACTTATTAATTGCTTGTGTTGAAAGTTAATTTGAGTCTAGCTAGGTTTGTTCCTATATGTGGCAAGTGCGCTGTAGAAGCCAGATGATCGTGGCTGGTCTCTTGTTCTATGTGGTCATTTGTATTAATATATGTGTAGTACGTACGTTATAAGTTTGTAAGTTTTCGTTGAAAGAAGACTTCAATTCAATTTATGTGATATGTTGTAATCTAAAGTGTTTTCGTTCCATCTTTTCTTTTTCCATGTGCCTGATATCATTATTCTTATTAAAAAATTGTTCGGATTAGCTTTTTAGAAGTGATTCTACAAAGTAAGTTTGTGAGAAGAATTTTATTTCCATGAAAACACTTTTTTAAATTATAAACTCATTATTATATTATAATGAGCTGGAGATCTTGTGCTTTATTTAAACAATAAACTATATACATGTTTTAAATTGAGAAAGATATACGCCTGCAAGGGTCGGTCCGACTGGTTGATAGGGGAAGGCAAGGCGCCGCGTACCCGTCAGGTCTTGGGCTCGATACCTGCGAGGCACCTTGGGATTAGTCTGGTCGGTTTCGGCTGGGATACCCTGAGTTAGCGATAACATCCTACTCAAAAAAAAAAAATATACCCATAATTCGAATATCGCTTGTTAATATATGATTCGAATATAGAATTAATAATTCATTCAAATGTACGGGACTCTGCCACTGGTCAATTATGTGATTGTGAACATTGTGTGCACAAGGAAAATAAATTATATTTTTAAAGATATTTTTGTGTCTTCTTTCGGTCTCAACATATAAAAGTGGTATACATGCATGTTAGTTATAATAACAATGTGATGACTGAATATTTTGACATATTTTTTTCGAAAATAATAATGATAATTTATCTAAAAATATTTAAAACAGCAAGTGCAATAAAATTATGTATATTACACATGGTATAACTATAAATATATATATATGTAATTCACCCTGAAATTAGGTTGTGTAGATGTTTCATGGCCCTTTGCATACAGCTGATTTGGGGTGTCCAAATGTCATGCATTTTGATGTGTTGTACATTTGGAATGCCCAGCTCCATTAGCAATATGGAAATATATTTATAAATCAATATAAAAAATAATAAAATGTATAAGCAAGGAACCAACCTCAACTTCTTCAGCCCTACCTTGCCAAATGGATTGTAGCGTTCGCATTTGGGATTATTAATGTCGTCCTCATCATCTTGTCGTTTTTATCATTTCTCTTCTTTGTTAATTTTTTTTGTTGCACAGTTTCTCTTTTATTTTCCTCGAAACACAGAAACAGTCAAGTTCGTGTCCGAGTGGGGCATCAAACTCCGGTGTTCTTAATTTAGAGTTGTGATATTTTATTTATATTACTTATTTGAGAGGAACAGTAGTCAATTTAAATTCTAGAAATAATGAGCATGCTTGAAGCTTTAAAGCTAGATAACTAATTTACGAATATCAATAAAATTAGTTAAGTTAATTATTTATAATAAATATATGTTATTTTTTTAAAATATTTTTTTAATCACCTGTACTGAAAGAATTCTTTTAATTACTGTAGAGATTACTTGGGAACAAAATAAATAAATATAAGAAAGAAAATAAATTGAGATTTTATTCGCAGGGACGACATTATTAAGTAAAACATTGATATGGGTGCTGATATATGTCAGATCATTGTATATTGTACAGTATATACCTTTATTCTTGTTTTTTGGGTGTAACCGTTAATGTGCACTCGCATAATTAAAAACCATTATTGCTATTAATAGAATATAGACGCATGAATTTCAGTTTAAGCATAACTTATTGCAATATACGTAAACCTATAACAAATTATGATTAAGAATAATTCAAGAACGACGCTCTTTTCTTGCTATTTTCATTCCCAGTTGTTACTGAAAACTAAAATTCGTAAGCAACCAAACCAGAACCAGGGATTATATATTATCTTCTTCGCCATCTCTGTAAAATGCAACCAGATCCCAAGTATTGTTATTGCAGTCCAAAACAAGAGAAACAGAAGGGCCATTTCATTATGGATTCTGCGAACTCCTTCAATGGCTACGGTAAGGTAGCTGAACTCGAGAACCAAGCCTTTCGGAAGAAGACACGTAAGCGCATGATCATCCTCATCGTCTCTTCCATAGTTCTTGGCCTCGTGGTCGTCGCCGGCGTTGCAGGAACCCTCCTCCACACGCATAATACCTCCTCCTCTTCCGGTAACTCAGTCACTTCTCCTCCTGTGTTAACTCCGGCCGCTTCACTCAAAGCCGTCTGCGATGTGACTCGCTACCCCAACTCTTGCATCTCCGGCATCTCCTCCCACCCTAGCTACTCCAACACCACCGACCCTGAAATCCTCTTCAAGTTCTCTCTCGGTGTCGCCATTGACGAGTTCTTAAAGCTTGCGGACTACACAGCGAAACTCAGAGGCCATCTAAAGGACCACAGTGCACATATGGCCTTCGATGTCTGCGAAAATGTCCTTGAAGATGCGGTGGATAGGCTCAACGACTCGATTTCATTGCTAGAAGTTGGTGGAGGAGAGAAGATTCTGACGCCAGAGAAGATTGACGACATTAGGACATGGTTGAGCGCGACGATTACGGACCAGGAGACTTGCTTGGACGCGATTGAGGAACTGAATTCCACCGCTTCTGAAGAGATTCTTCGTGATATGAGAACTGCCATGGAGACCTCTACGGAATCTGCGAGCAACAGCTTGGCCATTGTGACGAAGATTCTTCGTCTGCTTGCGAAGGTCAACCTCCCGCTCCATCGGAGGCTACTAGGGTTGGGTTTCCCGCAGTGGGTTGGCCCGACAGATCGAAGGCTGCTGCAGCAAGAGATGAACGAAACGACACCGGATGCACCGGATGCAGTGGTGGCGAAGGACGGAACTGGACAGTACAGAACGATCAATGAGGCGGTGGCGGCCGTGAAGAAGAAAAGTGAGAGTAGATTCGTGATTTACGTGAAGGAAGGTGTTTACGTAGAAAACGTAGAATTGAAGAAGGACACGTGGAATGTAATGATTATTGGAGACGGGAAGAACAAAACCATAGTCTCCGGCAGCCGGAATAAAATCGACGGCACACGCACTTTTCACAGCGCCACTTTTGGTAAGCCACAGAAAATTCTCATTTAATTTCCCGAGTCTGAAATCTGAATATCTCAAGTTCATAAATTGATATAGCTAATTTCTCATTTTCATGAGCTTGAAGAGGTTGTTTCTGTATATATTTATATATAACTGCAGCTGTAAGCGGGAAGGGATTCATAGCCAAAGACATTGGATTCATCAACACTGCAGGGCCAGCCAAACACCAAGCAGTGGCGGTGCGATCAGGCTCCGACCAGTCAGTCTTCTACCGGTGTTCCTTTGACGGCTTCCAGGACACCCTCTACGCCCATTCTAACCGTCAGTTCTACCGTGACTGTGACATCACCGGCACCGTCGACTTCATCTTCGGCAACGCCAGCTTCAGTTTTCCAGAACTGCGCTATCAAAACTCGACAGCCTCTCCCAGGACAGTTCAACACCGTCACAGCTCAGGGCAGGACTGATCCAAATCAAAACACTGGGATTGTAATCCACAACTCTTCAATTTCTGCGCTTGATAATCTCACTGCTTCCACCTACCTTGGAAGGCCATGGAAAAATTACTCTACTACCGTGATTATGAAATCTGAAATTGGGCCTTTGTTGGACCCATTGGGATGGGCTGAATGGATCACCGATGTTGAGCCTCCTAGCACTATATTTTACGCAGAGTACCAGAATACTGGGCTAGGCTCAGTTGTCACCCAAAGGGTTCGATGGGCCGGTTATAAGCCCAACCTCTCAGAAGATGAGGCAGGAAAGTTCACAGTTCAGTCATTTATCCAGGCTAATCAGTGGCTGCCCAATAGGCACGTGGAATTTCAATCCTCATTATAATGATATAATTGTTCAGTGCTCAACTTTTTTCTTCATTATTTTTTTTTGGATTTCTTGATTACGTGTTGTAAATCTTTTTTTTTTTTTAAGTGAAGAAAGGAAGGGTAAAATCCTTCTTAATGTGAGTTTATTCAGATGGTAACTTGAGAGTCAAATTTCTGAGCTGCCGCTTGGTTGCATGCAAATCGATGCAAGTTAATGTAAAAATTTCTGGTGAAAAAGAAAAATGTCGCGTGAGCCATGTCAGTTCCGTTCAATGGAATGGAATTTACAAAGGTGGATGAAAGTCTAAAATGCCCTTGCTTATAGTCAGGGCCATCCAGCGTCGGATGTTTTTTCCGGCGTCGCTGATCACCACCGGCCACTGATACTTGGCGAGGGGCATTTCAGACCTTTTTCTTTTAATATTTTTTCAACCTTAAAATAAGTTAAAAAAATAAATTGGTTTATATGGCCACCGATTTATATAGGAGTAGTAGCTATCCAAATGAATGTGATCAACTTTTCCACGTAAACAGGTTTTAAGATTCAAAACTGAGATTAAAAGTCAAGAATTAATTTTTATTCATCACATTTTCATAATTTTAAATATTTTTTAATAATAGAATTACCTCATAAATTTAAACTCTCTAATTGGACAAATTATTATCTATTGGTCACCTGTTTTTGGAAAGAACCATTTATGTGAAATATTTTTAAACTATGAAAATATAAGAAAATTTAAAAACTTGAAAACAAGTCTTTATTATAAAATACAACATGGCCTTAAAAGGGAAGAGCATGGCCTTATTAATTGGAACTCAATCATAGACTGTGCCGAGCGAGACCCGATACCTAATACCTGCCTATTGGTGTGGCTTTAAATGTTCAATAATTTTTCTAAACGAAGTTTGAAAAAACATTTAATGCTTTTTTTTTTTCTCTGTTGGTGTAAAATAATTGCTAAATTTCCAATGTAATTAGTGAACCGTCGTCAAATATTTGGATATGAAACCGACATATTTATAAATTTCTTACCCCAATGTTTATGTAAATGCATGAGCTCATGCCTCATGCCTGATTTGATAAACTCAAAAGTAAGAGATAAAAATGTCCGAAATAATTTTAAAAGATCAAATTGGCATTGTAGCATATTTTCCTACAGTTAGTTTAATAATACTTTAAATTATTCACCGCTTTTCTAAATAAAACCACACAAAATCCTTTCAAACGCTGAAATTGATAATGTATAACATGACC